ACACCACTGACTGATTAATAAACTAAACGACTAAAAGACTACACAAAGAAGTTAAAACATCTTTGAACACAAACAAATATGAAATACTACGCACTAAAAGCACCATGAATTACTTTATTATTAGCGTTATGAGGCTCTGAACAGTTTGCATTCGTAGTCCAGCGTATGCCCTGTTACTGCTGCCTCATCTCAGACTGCGACCCATAGTTATCCGCCTCCTTCAGTCAGCAGCTTTGTGTCACTCCTCCATTAGACTCTGTGACGTCTGAGCGCCATAAAACACATATTTAACAAGTCTATTGTGGCGTGCTACTGCAGACACAAACACACAGCAGTAGTACGCTTATGTTATGAGTGAATAATAAGTTATAATTAAACTTCAGCAATGAGGCAGCAATGGAGCTCAAGAGCGACCGCCAGCTCAGACTCCGGAAGTAAATTTTCCATTAATTTTTCTCATAGAGTTTTCCAAAAAAATATAATATTAAGAGTTTAAAGACAACTAATATTTATAACACAATAGTTTCAAGTCCAAAAAGCACATTTAAAATGCAAGATTCAGTGAAATTGCGATTTCTAAAGGTTCAGAAACAGATTTTAGATCAAATTATAGGTCCATGGTCATTTGTTACCACATGCTTTCAAACTTAACATATTTTTTGGGAACGTCTGTGAGAAAAATCAATGCGAAATTTACTTCTGGAACTGAGTCACTGTTGAACTCCATGGTTCAGTGGTAGAGTTGGACAATATGACAACGTTTTTTAAAGCTGTAGTCGACTTAAGAAATTCTTGGACGACTAAAAACATGTCCAGCAGATTGATTTGTCGACCAAAAAGGGAAAACTATTACGTATTTCTATATATCTGATCCAAACTGAGCTCACAAAACTACACCTGCACAGGAGTTCATCCAAAAACTACTATGTATGCAGAAAAAAACACGTAGGATTTACTTCAAATTTTCAGCTAATCCACTCCCTACTTTCTCCTTTTTGATTTTGTGCAAATAAATACTTATAATTTCAATAAAATACTTAGTCAACTAATACAAATTTTGGTCAACTCAAACACCATGGACCGATTGATGAACTTAACGACTAAACGAGCGCAGACATAACAACATGATCTGTCTTTGTATTCTCCACATATGGATCAATCAAGATTTTAGATTAAACTGTTTTTAAAACGGCTGTCAGTATTAATGCTCTCAACAATAACAAAACAAGCTTATAACAATATGGGCAACAATAATACGGGCTTTCACTCATTGTCAAAACAGTCCTTTCTTCAAAGACTGAAGTCTTGGCTGTAGATCTCTCAGTTAAGAAGACCAAAGCTGATCACTGACAGTTAGAAATGACTGCATCTCATTCTCTGCTCTACTCACTGATTAGAGGAACGTTTGCCCGCTAATCCAAAAGTCAATGGTGCAATTCCTGCTTCAACTGGTGCATGCAGTCAATGTGTCAACAGGCAAGGCATTTCATCTAGTACAAAAGTCAGTGATTGATGGTGGTTGGAGCAGCAGATAGGACACACTCACTCTGGCATGTTCAGCCACATTTCTGTCAGTCTACCCCAGGACAGCTGTGGCTTCAAAATCATTTACCATCACACAACATGAGAAGGGAACAGTGTTGGGAAGGTCACCTTTAAAATGTATTCCCCTACAGATTACAGATTACATACCCCAAAATGTAGCTTGTAACGTAATCCATTAAATTACTTAAAGTGAGTAATGTAATCTGAATACTTTGCATTACTTGATTTGCTGTAGAGAAGCAAAGATGAGGAAATCATAACATAAGATGTTTTATCTGCTAAAAGACAATAAAAAGCCCAGACTTTACTTAACCAAATAAAAAATATTATTGATAGAAGAAGTTTAGTCTTGTTAAATCCTGTTTGAGACATAGTTTAGACCTGGTTTTAGTCCTGGTTTAGTCCTAGTTTAGATCTAGTTTAGACCTAGTTTAGACCTAGTTTAGACCTGGGTTTAGAACTGGTTTGTCCTGGTTTAGTCCTGATTTAGACCTGGTTTTAGACCAGGTTTAGTCCTGGTTTAGACCTAGTTTAGACCTAGTTTAGACCTAGTTTAGACCTATGTTTAGACCTGGATTAGGCCTATGTTTAGACCTGGTTTAGTCCTGGTTTAGTCCTGGTTTAGTCCTGGTTTAGTCCTGGTTTAGTCCTGGTTTAGACCTAGTTTAGACCTAGTTTAGACCTTGTTTAGACCTATGTTTAGACCTGGTTTAGACCTGGTTTAGACCTGGTTTAGTGTCCAGCAATGAGTGGAATTACCAAAAAAAAAAAAAAAAAAAAGGGATATTGTCCAAAATGTGAAAAAAGGAAAATACCGCCGTGTAATCCATTTATTTTAACCAAGTAACTGTAATCCAATTACCACTCACTGAAACAGTAACTGTAACTGAATACAGTTACTCATAATTTGTACTCTGATTACATAACTCTGGTACATGTAATCTGTTACTCCCCAACACTGGAAGGGAATAATTATTATAATACATATTTTATATTTATAACCTTTCTTAACACCCAAGGACACTTTCCAAAGAACAATCAAAGTGTCCAGATGAAATAAAATCAATGATAAACGCAATTTTATACTTTTATTAAAGGGCGTAATACGAGAAATATGTTTTCTTATCTAATTTAATGTTTCCTCATCACAAACATGGATGGAGTTGTGTTTTGTTTCATTCACTCATTTTTAAAACACACAAAACCTGAATATTTAGGCTGTGTTCTTCTCTCAAACTCAAAACACTCAGTTCCACCTTGTGATGTCATGTGATACAGGAAGTGTATTTCTGTAATACAGGAAGTGCTCCATTGTGTTTTTAAACTACATACACCACACTCCAGAGGTGGGGACTTACAAGCTGTGACTTGGACTCAAGCCAGACTTGAGTTACTATTTTTACGACTTGAGACTTGACTTGATAAAATGGACAAAGACTTGGGACTCGACTTAGGCTTTAAGGTCAGTGACTTGATACTTGACTCAGACTTGAGGTCTGTGACTTGAGAAGACTTGAAAAGCACTTTTAAATCTGAATTCTTTCTATTCTGACCATAATGATTCACACTAAGATCTTGTCAAAACTTTTAAAAAGGAAAAAATACTAAATTAATTTCTACAACTCTTACATACTCTATAATTGCTCATATATAAATATACTATGACTTTTTAAGTACAATTTAGTTTAAAATTCATATAAATTGCAAAAACCTAAGCTATATTATATTTGGTACTATGGTTTAAAGACTTGAAATGATTTAAAGCTCAAAGCAGATGACTTGGACTTGGACTTATGGGCCAGTGACTAGAGACTCGACTTGGACTTGCCTGTATTTGACTTGGGACTTGACTCGGACTTAAGGTCAGAGACTTGAAACTTACTTGAGACTTGCAAAACAACGACTTAGTCCCACTTCTGCTACACTCGCTTGAATCATTTTGATACTTTCAGCCTGAATCTCTCCTGAAGTAAAAGTAAAATGTACATAGCTTTTAACTTGAAAACTACCACTACACGACTTTATAAAATGGAACAGAGGATTTTGAGCTTTAGAGATGAAGACAGACTAATAATAAAGTGTTACTCAAACATGTGTGAATGAAACAAAACACAACTCCAGGCCTGTTTTTGATGAGGTAACAACATTATAACAGGGCTAAAATCTCACAAGACTATTGCGTAATATATGAAAACTGTAATATTTGCGGGTCCTTTGTTGTAACTTGAACACACTTGAATCATTTCACATTGACACTGAGAGCCTGCTTAAGCACTGATTCACTCTTCTTCTCCTCCTCTCCTTAATAACGCCGTATATATAGCCCTGTCATATTTGTTTTACTAAGCACTACAGAAGCAGAGTTGACAATAGACTTCCATGCGCATACTTCCTCCACGGCCCACACCTGGCCAGTGTCACAGGAACTAAGACCACACATTTATAACAAATATGAGGCATTCACACTGACTGCACAGGAAATGCTCGCGTTAGTAACAGTAGATATAGATTCTGTATCCTCACCAGAGAGGAAATGACACTTGGAAACAATGAAGAAATATTAGGTTACATCTGGGGCGTATGTACATAGGCGAAATTGGCGAATCAGACTGAAATGTGAGCTTTAAGCCAAGTTATAATGTTGTTGCCTTACGTGTTTGAGAAGCTTTTTTTTTTATATTATTAGTCTGTCTACATGTCCAAAGCTCAAAATGCTGCATGCAGTGGTAGTTTTCAAGTTACTTTTTACTTTTAATTCAGTAGAAACTGACAATTGTATGTCTGAAATCATCCAAACACTGCAAAAAAACAAAACTAGACAAGTTCAGATGACTTGAATTAAGAACGTTTCATCATGATTAAAGTTAATTTCACTTGATAAGTACAATTATCTACCAATAGAAGAGGACTTTTTGTATTTAAAATATGAAAATACATCTTGCTACACTTAAAATAAGAAAAAAGACAACGATTTTAGCTCAATATTGTTGTTTTTTTTTTGTTTTTTTTTTCTAGTGAATGATTCCAGTGAAGGTGCATGGAGTTTAAAAACACAGTGGAGTGACACAGTGGAACAAGACATCACAAGGTGGAAGAGTGTTTTGAGTTTGAGAGAAGATTTCAGCCTAAAAATGCAGGATTTGTGTGTTAAATATGTATGAATGAAACAAAACACAACTCCAGCTACGTTTTTGATGAAGAAACAACATTATAACATAACAGAAAATCGATTACAACGCCAGAAAATCGCGTAAAAATAGTCCCTTTAAGAGTTGCACTGTTCAAGACTTGAGGCTATTCTTAAATGGGACAGAGAGTGAACTAACCTGGAGCATTAACATTCAGGACATGTGTCTGCCTGCTCCCCTCTGGAATCCCGCTGTCAAGACAAGCCTCCAACAACCACGAGCGCAACTTTCACTCCAAAACCGCGCACGTTTTACGCAATTTCTTACCTGTTGATTTTGAGAGCGAACGCGCGTCTCTCCGCCGTGCCAAGAGAAGACATAACTCCTAAAATCCTCCTACGGTCTCCCCTCCGCTGTCTGTCACGGGCGCGCGGCTCCTGTCATGTCAACATTCATTTGGAGAGTGACGGCGGCGCGGCAGCAGCTTTCCTGGGTGTAAACTTCCGCATTTGATTTGAGCCATCCCCGAGAGAGCTGCGGGGCTGCTCCTGCTTCAGACGGAGCAGAGGGGCAGAGAGCAGAGAGCAGACACCGGCACGAGGCGAGGAAGGGAGGGAAGGAGGGAGGGAGGGAAGGAAGAGAGATCAGAGGAGAGAGAGAGAGAGAGATAGGCCGTGCGCGCTCCCTCGCTGCCAAAAAGTGCACCGAAGCCTTTTTTGTTTTAACGCATCAGTGAATACTAGGTGTGGGACCCTGAACCCAGTTTTGTAGTTTTTTCATTACTGAGATACTTATTCTTATTTAGTTTGATTTAATATTTACTTACTTACATGTTTTTTGGTAATGTTTTATAGTTAACATGATTATTTGTTGATTATTTCTTTAAAAAAAAATTGATCTATTTACATTTTTCTTTCAATTAATTATTGCTAATGTTAATCATAAGTTTACTTGTAATTAAGTAGTGTTTAATTTTTGTATTATTTTGTGGTCTATGGCTCCTTATTTAAGGTTAGTGCAGGTGCATCATGGGAATGTGGAGAGGAGCCAAACAGTTTTTTGACCTCCTGTCACCTGTATGTTAAAAGTTCCCCTTTTTTGTATGTATTTGTATGTCCCAGTTATGTGAATACGCAGTAAAGTGTTTTTAACTGCACTTGGATCGCTCTCCGTGCATTCTTTTATTTTTGAGGCATTTTTAAAAGGTGAAACAAGGTGCGCAACTATGGCTTCACAAACTGTTTGGACCTTACACAAGGGATTAGGGATGTAACAATAACCAAAATATCGTGAGATCGTATCGTCAAAGTTCTCACAATAATATCGTGGACCATCACAATATAGCGAATTGACAAGTCTCTTTGCTTAAATTAAGAGTTATGATGCAGCAATAACTAAAAAAAGAACAAGGGAACTACATAGACCATGATCCTTTGCTCCATTTCAGTGTAGACTACAAGAAGAAATAACAGTTCTAAGCACTTTTAAGTCTTAGTTCTTTGGATTAAACCTTGCCAAGGCATTTAAAGAGGAAAAAAGTAGCATATTCACAGTTTTAGCTGTTTAGCCTCCACAAAATATCACAATAAATATCATACCGTGAAATGTATATCGTGAAAATATCTTACTGAGAGATTTGTATATTGTTACATCCCTAATCGTGAGCCTCCCCACCATATCATGAGTTTTCCTATGATATCGCAATAAATATTGTTTTGTGAGGTTCATAACCTTTATTATTTTTATATAGAAAAGGATATGCTGCAATAATTAGTAGATTATACATAGGGCCTAGCCCCAGACTAATTGTCATGCCCTTCCTATTTAGAATTATATTGTTCAGTTATGCTTAAATTAGGATGACCAGATGTCCCTATTTACCTGGGACAGTCGCTGTTTTGAGCCCTGTGTCTCCTGTCCAAGAAGATTTATCCAAAACCCGTGATTTGTCCCAGTTTTATCCAAGAAATATTCCTGTTTTTTGACCAAGTTGAAACCTGCCAACAGTAAAAAGAGGCATAAATTGTCATTTGTTTAGGTAAAGTGCAGAAAAGATGCTAAAATGACCAAAACACAATGAAATTGCAACTATAGTGACACATGTTTGTCATGAATGGGCCGAGTGCAGAACAGTTTTTCTTAATTAAGTAATTGTTTCACAATTTTATTATTATTATTATCAGTCATCAAAAAACAGGGGTATCCCAGTTTTTTATTTTGAAAATCTAGTCACCATATCTTAAATAATCTTATTATCAGCCTTATTTTTGAATGCAGTAGCTACAATAAATGCACTGCTGCATGTCCTATGTCATGGGTTATCCAAGTTATCACGTACACTCCACAAAGACCCTCCAGGAAGATTATTAATTCAGTACAATGTTGCAACTCATGTGCACAGTACATATGTTCAGTGTACAGGACAGAGCTGCTGTTATGATGAGTAGGATGGGGCCCTCTGGTGGTAATTGTTTGCTATCACAACACAGGTCATTCTGAACAAATACAAGATTCTGCGCGCATTTTAACCTAATTTTCTCTCCTTGGATTGTTATCAGATTTTATTATACTTCTATCACAGTTTTATCTTTTTTTTTAGTTTGTTGAACTGAAAACGGTGGAACCAAAGCATTTCGTCTCTTTTATCCACACGGAGCTGCTACAGCGTAACACCGAGTAACTCCCATGGTGCAGAGCCAGCAACATTTCTCATAAACCTTTTATCCACTCTTTTATTTTTATTGGACAATTAAAGTGACTGTTCTGAGGTGAAGCAGCAACGTCTTGGTGCAGTCGTCGTTCATTTAACAAGTAAGCACGTTAAATAATATTAAAGTATTTTGATCTGATGTCAGTGTGGAGGTTTGTATTGTATGTTTGTAGAGCTGTTATTGCTTGATACAACTTGTACTACAACTTGAACTGTGTAACTTTTGGTGTTTTTTGGAGATATATTTGCTTATCCACTTCCAAATAAACAAGCAAGTGACTACAAGTTACAGGTCAGATCAGTGGAGAGGCGACTGCACTGATAATGAGAGTGCGTGTTTTTATTGTATTTTGGGGTAATAAAAATACCTGTAATTCACTTAATGTAAGATAGATACGTTTTATGGCACACTGTAGAACATTCCAGGCAAAGCGGTAACATCTCCATGGAGACAATTAGGTGACAGACCCTCTACCTGAAAAGTTGCACCAGTTCAGCTTTAACTAAGACAAAATCTGTTACATTACCTGACATTACATGGACTCCCTGTACTCAAGAGTTACAGAGGATGTCCCAGAGGCAAAGACGTGCAACATCCACTAAACTCAGAGTTTCAGCTGCTTCTGTCTAGTCAGAGGCTTTTAGTCCCAAGACCTAGACCAGGGGTGTCAAACTCATTTTGGCCCGGGGGCTGTATCCAACCTACTTTTATCCCCAAGGGGCCGGATCAGAAAACTCATGGCATATATACCCCAAAAATAGCAATAAGTTCAAATATTTGTGCAAATCTATTACAGAAATCTTTTTAAATTGATGAACTCTTTCTTTTACAAAATATTATAATATCATGAACAACTTGAAACTTTACTTGTATGCAAATGGGAATAAGTCAGTTTTTCTTGGAAGATCCTGCACTCGGCGTCCACTTTTCTCATTTTTGACATTTTGCTGATGAGGGTCACGGTCAACAGTCAAAACGATCGTCCTTTAAGAGCGTTTGGAAAGAGACAAGTCTTCATTTGTGCTGCTCTGGTGGGAGGCGGTCAAGCACAGAGGCACTGGAGACGCTGCTATGCTGAGCGATGCAGAAAATTACCAATATTTTAATAGAAAATATAAGTAAAATATTTTAGTAGAAAATCAGCCAAGGGCCAGATTAAAGATATTTAATTAATTAATTGCAATCTATTTATCCATCAATTTTAGTACATTATCTTGGAAAAATCCTGTGTTTTTTATATATTTAGTATTTATTGTGATCTTAGCCAAGCGTGATGGATTGAATTAAATTAATTGTTTATGGAACAAAGCCATTCTGTACTTGAGCACTGTAACACTTTATTTTTTAATTGTGTTTTTATGCGTGTTTATTGGATATAATGTGGATGAATGAAATGTGAAATGTGGGACCAGCTTCTCAAATCTGCAAAACAAATTTTCCTACGGGGACAAATAAAGCAACCGAACCTATTATGACAACTAATGTTTTTTATTTATCATTTTAATAATGTTTAATGTATTGTTATCTTAATTTCCCTTTACAGCAACTGTCATAGGCTTCTTAAAAATGTTCTCTATTAATAAAATCGATCAGATAGACATTCACATGAGCTACTCTTTTAATAATTATTTAATACATTTGTGTTTTTTAGGTTCAGTTATGGATGAAGAGGATGAGTGTCCAGAGCTGGTGCCCATTGACCCGAAGCCTCCCGTGTCTTTGGGGCAAATACCCGTCACTATCATCACCGGATATCTAGGTAAAGGACTGAACGTATAACACATTATTAATGACTTATGTATTTATTTTGGGCAAGTAAGACATTCACATCCTTACACAATGGAACACACAACGTTAGTGAAATCATAAGAGAAAACAACATCAACAAAAAAATTGACCAAAACGGAGTGGGAAGAAGAAAACATATTTAGTCCCACCCCCCTCTTCTAATTTAACATGAGCTTTCTTTTGTATTTTTCAGACATTATACATTAAACTATATGAACTATTTACAAAGACGGACTCTTTTTTTAGACTGTGCATAAATATAAAAGATTCAAACTATTATTAATAGCATTTTTAGAAGTTAGTCATGCACAAAATATTTCAAATGAACATTAGTTTATGGAGTAGGCCAACCTGAAAGTGCAACAAAGGTTTGGTATCTTTCAGTTTTTTGGGGTACCAGTACTTACTTGATACCAATACCTGGTTTTTGATATCGATACCTGAACAATATATTTCTGTATTAATCATTATCTTGACAAAACAGAATCATAAGTTGGATTTATCTTTGTAGACTTACTTAGACTTAGACAAACTTCATTGATCCACAAGGGAAATGATTTAGTTTGTAGTTTTGTAGTTATTTGTTATTTTCTTCTTTCATTTATTGTGACAGTGCTTAGTAACTTTCTATACATCAAACTGTCAAATGGAAATGTATTCTGACATTGATTTTGTAAGGCAAGGCAAGGCAAGGCAAGTTTATTTGTATAGCACAATTCGTACACAAAGTAATTCAAAGTGCTTTACAGAAATACATTAAAATCATAATAAAAACAAATCAAAACATAAATAATCATGAAGATTAAAATTAAAAAAGAGAGACATAAATTGGAGAGAAGAGTGCGGAATGAAAACCTTTCAGTTATATGCACAGTTAAACAGAAATGTTTGAGCCTGGATTTAAACAGCATCACAGAAGAGGCCTGTCTCACATGTTCAGGAAGACTGTTCCAGGTTTTAGCTGCATGAACCTGAAACGCTGACTCCCCTTGTTTAGTTCTGACTCTGGGCACCAGCAGGAGGCCGGTCCCTGAGGTCCTCAGAGTGCGAGATGGTTCATATGACACTAACATGTCACAGATGTACTTTGGTGCTCGGCCATGGAGAGACTTGTACACAAGTAGAGCTGCTTTAAAGTCTATTCTCTGAGGCACAGGAAGCCAGTGCAGAGACCTGAGCACAGGACTTATGTGCTCGTACTTCCTAGTTCGAGTAAGGACCCGAGCTGCAGCATTCTGGATGTTCTGCAGCGTCTCACAGCTCGTTTGGAGAGACCAGTGAGCAGACCATTACAGTAGTCTAACCTACTGGAGACAAACGCATGGATAAGTTTCTCCAAGTCTGCTTTAGACAGTAAACCTTTGATTTTTGCTATGTTTTTAGATGGTAAAAGGCTGCAGATGTTATTGATTTTATGTGACTGTTAAAGTTCAAGTCTGAGTCCATTATTACCCGTTAGATTTCTTGCCTGATTTGAAGGTTTTAGAGCGAGAGACTGGAGGTGACTGCTGACACTGTCCCTTTGTTTCTGTGGACCAAACACTATGACTTCAGTCTTGTCAGAGTTTAGCTGGAGAAAGTTGTTTTGCATCCACACACTGATCTGTTGGATGCAGTGACCAAGTGACTCCACTGGTCCATAGTGTCCTGCTGCCAGAGAGACGTAGATCTGAGTGTCATCTGCATAATTGTGGTAGGACACATTATTGCTGCTTATTAACTGGCCTAATGGCAGCATGTAGAGATTGAACAACAGGGGGCCCAGGATTGACCCCTGAGGCACCCCACAGGTCAGGGCCATGTCATCTGAGACACAGTTTCCAATTTCAACAAAATACTTCCTGTCTTCTAGATAGGACTTGAACCAGTTTAGCATAGTACCAGAGATGCCCACCCAGTCCTCTAGTCTCTGTAAGAGGATCCCATGATCGACAGTGTCAAAAGCAGCACTCAGATCTAACAGGATCAAGACTGAGACTTTGCCTGCATCAGTGTTCAGGCGGATGTCATTTGTCACCTTGATAAGAGCAGTCTCAGTGCTGTGGTGGGCTCTAAAACCTGACTGGAAAACATCAAAGGAGTTGTTCATTTGGAGAAAGTTCGTAAGCTGTTGGTAAACAGCTTTTTCAAGGACTTTGCCAAAAAACGGCAGATTTGAGATGGGTCGGAAATTGTTCAGTACTGTGGCATCAAGACTGCTCTTCTTTAGGAGAGGCTTAATGACCGCAGTTTTCAATGCGTTTGGGAATGTTCCAGATTGAAGTGACATGTTAACTATGTGAGTGAGTGGTGAAAGTAAACTGTTGAGGACAGACTTTAGAAATCTAGTGGGTAACATGTCCAGGCAGCAAGTAGATGAACTCAGACTGGTAACGATCTCTAAAACAGTTTTGTCAGTTACAGGTGCAAAGTGATTCAGCTCTAAGTGTCTCTGTGGCTGCATGCTTGTTATTTGTGTTGTGGAATTGATGGCATTTTTGATGCCCTGAACTTTGTCATTAAAGAAAACTGCAAACTCATTACATTTAGATGTGGAAATTAGTTCTAGTGGCAGTGGAGCTGGAGGGTTTGTTAATCTGTTCACTGTTGCAAACAGGACACGAGAGTTGTTACTGCAATTACCAATAATGTCCGAAAAATACTTCTCTCTTGTTTTACTCAAAGTGTAGTTGTACATATGCATTGTTCCTCTGTAAATCTCATAATGAACCTGGAGGTTTGACTTGCGCCATTTCCGCTCAGCCTTCCGGCACTCCCTTTTCTGTGCCCTGACTGAGTCATCATTCCTCCACGGAGCTTTTTGCCTATCTTTAACCATTTTAACCTTTATCGGAGCGATGGCATCCAGAACATTCAAAACACTCAAAGTCACAGAGTTCAACACATCATCAACATTAGAACATGAGGCAATTTCAAAATGTATCATTTCCATGAACAGTGCACCTGTGTTATCATTTATGTGTCTCCTTCGAACAACTGTAGGAGCAGCCGGTGGTTTGGGAATAACAGACAGGTCAAAGAAGACACAGAAATGATCAGACAGAGCAACATCAACCACACTGACATTTGAAATATTTACACCCTTTGTAATGAGCAGGTCCAGAGTGTGCCCTCTGTTGTGAGTGGGCTCACTGACATGCTGAGTCAGACCAAAAGTTTCAAGGACAACACTAAGCTCTTTGGCATTTTTGTCACACACATTATCCACATGTACATTAAAATCACCTGTAATGACTAAACCATCAAAGTCTGTGCAAACAACTGAAAGCATCTCAGTAAAATCATCAATAAAACCTTGACAGTGCTGAGGAGGTTTGTATATGACTATGTAGAGTATGGACGGTGATTGTTTTAGCTCCATTTTGAAGGAAACATACTCAAATGATGAAAACACCCCAAATGACAACCTGTGTGTAACCAAATGATCTCTAAAAAATGCACACACTCCTCCACCCTTTTTATTTGCTCGTGTTTCAGATTCAAATTTGAAGTTGGGAGGGGTTGATTCCACTAGCACTGCATGCATGACCTGTGTTTTTGTCAAGCCATGTTTCAGTTAAAAACATAAAGTCAAGATTAAAAGAAGAAATAAAATCATGAATTAGAAATGATTTGTTACATAAAGATCTGACATTGAGCACAGCAAGTTTCTGATTAGTTTCAGTAGGACTGGATGTTATCTTCTTACAGGGAACGTGAACTAAATTTCTCTGATTAGACAGTCTAACTGTCCTTCTTTTAATCCGTCTGCGTGTTGTAACTGGAGCTATAGCTCCATCGCAGGGCCCCAGCCTGATATTACCTTTATCATGACTGTATGTCCTGGGACAGCAGAGGCCCTGTGCGTCCTAGCTCTTGGTGATAACAGCTCTGGGGAAAGGCGGGGGAGGGCGAGCAGGGGAGAGTTTGGGTGAGTGACCAGGTGAGGGACCAGGTGAGGGCCGAGGAGGTGGCCGAGGAGGTGGAATACGGGGAGGTTTGGGTGAGGGGCCAGGTAAGGACCGAGGAGGTGGAGTAGGGGGAGGTTTGGGTGAGGGGAGAGCTGAGAGAGTCTCTGGTGGTGAAACAGGCACAGTTTTGTATGGGGAGTTCAACATAACCCTTGACCGTGCTATGTTAGGTGTGAGAGGAACCATCTTGATTCCCGATCTGATGAGGCTTTCTAGATGGTTGGGCAGTGCCATGGGTGAAGGTGGGGAGGAGAAGGAGAGTGAAGAGTCCGTTGATGGAGTAGATGTAGCAAGGGGGACTCCAGGCTGGTCTGTGGGCAGCGGAGGTGATGGGTGTGCTGGTGGCGCTGGGGGATTTTGTAGAAATATTTCTACATGCAAAGCTGCAATGTTGTTGATGGTGGTTTTTACATGCTTGCTCAGTCCACTAGAGGGCAGCATTTTGTCAATTTACTCAATATCATCAATGACTTTTTCATATTATCTTTCAGGTTTTAATACTAACGTAGATGTAGACTTAGACAAACTTTGTTGAGTCACAAAGGAATTTATTTGGACATAGTAGCTCACAGGTCACAATATATTATAATGACAAAGAGCAAAAATATAAATGGTAATAATAAATTCTAAATAGGTGGCAAAAATGGCAAGAGACTGGTGGTGAATAAGGCATAATTATGTAAATGTATATGTACAAGTACAAGTAAAAATAAAATATAGAAATATAGTAATACACATATATCTCAGCTATATACAAGAGGTGGGTAAGGAGAATCTTTATGGAAATCTATTTTATGTTTTCTTTGTATCACTAGCATATACACAAAATAGATTAATGCTATGTTTTCTATTTAAATATTTCAACAACAAATGTATTTTTTCTCTTCTCAGGTGCTGGAAAGACAACTCTTCTAAACTACATCCTCACAGAACAACACAACAAGAGGATCGCGGTCATACTCAATGAATTTGGAGAAGGTACCATTTTTTTCCTATATTCTTTCATATTTCCTAATATTTATTTTCCTTCTAATTCCTTCTCACAGTCTACCTGGGGATTTGAGGTCCGCTGCGAGTGTTCATATTTTTAAACGTGAACTCAAAACGTGTCTTTTTCAGTTGAACTTTTAAGTGAAACCTTTACTTGTTTTAAATTTAATAATAATAATAACAACAACAACAACTACAACAACTACTACTACTACTACTATATTTGTTTAAAATGTTATTATTATTATTTTACTTAGTCTCTATCTGAGAGCTTTCCATTTTTTATTTTTTACTATAACCTTTAGCAGCTTTATGTTTTATGTTTCTGTTTAAATTGCTGTATATATGGATGAAACAATGGGGTGGGGATGGGTTTGCTGTTGTTTTTTAATTATTGTAATTTTTCTGTTGCATGTGAAGCACTTTGACATAATTTCAGACTTATTCAAACCTTTTTCTTAAGCATAAATCAACATCGATAACCAAAAGTTGCTGTTTCTACTCTGGCCTGTAGGTAGCGCCCTTGAGAAGTCTCTTGCAGTGAGTCAAGCAGGAGAGTTGTATGAAGAGTGGCTGGAGCTGAGGAATGGCTGCCTCTGCTGCTCTGTGAAGTATGCAAATATATATTTTTTATGTTAAACCTGTTTAATTAACCTGTGAACTTATTTATTATTCATAACACTATATTATTATGCACACACTATTGATAATCTTGCTGATATTGGCTGTATTGTAGTAGCTGAAATGCTTTTGTGTTCCAGGGACAATGGTCTAAAAGCCATTGAAAACCTGATGGAGAAGAAGGGAAAGTTTGACTACATTTTGTTAGAAACGACCGGACTTGCCGATCCAGGTAAAGTGATGCCAAATTAACCAGAACATTTAGAAGTCCTCGAGTATTCCACTGATGTTTCCAAGTCTATCATACACAGCAAAAAAGTGGAGTGTTAAAATTAGAGTTTGTATGAGTCCAATCTGTTCTAGAGTTAATTTTACATTATTGGAAATGTTAATTAAGTAACACTAGACCAAAGTTTCTGTTTAACCCCGAAATCCAGAGTTATATTCATGTTTTGAGAGTAAACAGATAACACTTTGTAGAGTTATCTTGATTTAGCACAGAGGCGTTTTATTTTATTTTTACTATATTTTAGTTAATTTAAGATGAAATTATGTACAAAACTGGTTCAAACTGGTCTTCTCTCACAAGAGTTTGAAGTGGTGAATGGGAGGAGCCAAATTAACACTAAGAGAAGTTGAATTAACACTAGAGGATGTTGAATTAACCTCAACCACATCAACTCTGGACAAATAACCCCAACTCAAACCCCCATTTAACTTTCAAATAGTTAAAATAACACTTTTGGTGTTAAAAACAACTCTGAAATATTTTACCCTAAAATTTTAACCCTCCAGTTTTTGCTGTGTATGCTTACATCCTCTCATTATATAATTATTTTGAAATGATCTATGTAACATTCATTCGAGCAGACAAGAACATGTGCTCCTAACATGTTTTCATATGTGAGGACATAGATAGTTACTGTAATTCTCCAGACCACCTTTTAATAAATCGAATTATGTGTGATAATTGTGACGCTTTAAGGCGCACTTACATCTTGTATTTAAAGACGAGGCAAAGTGAGTTTATTTGTATAGCACAGTTTGTACACAAAGTAATTCAAAGTGCTTTAAAGAATAAGAAATACATTAAAAGCATAATACAAACAAATCAAAACATAAATAATCATCATAAAATTTAAAACATTTATTGAATTAGGTGTTTTTTTTCTCAAAAACTACCAAAAAACATGTATTATTACTGTGAGTGGGTCAACTTTCTTTCCTCTGACCTGCTTGTCTCCATGGAGATATGATGACGGACCCTCTACCAGAAAAGTTACACAGTGCACCTTTACTAAATTAATAGAAATAATCTGTTGACTAGATTGGCTGCTGATAAAAAATAATCACAGACATGTCAGCTTCTAAAATAACGTTTATATTTGGTCTAATCAGTCAGTATTTCCAGGGAGTAAAATCGCGAAACCTTCAATTTTTACTGGTTTAAATTTGAGCTTGTTTTGACACTTGCACACACTTTCCTTTCCAAAAACGCTGGAGGCGGTGTGTATGGTTTGCATCGACAGTGTTTTCTCTTCTCTGCACTGCAGGGTGTCAGCAGCTGTGCATTCACTTGTGTGTGGGCGCCTCAGACACCTTCAGGCCACACACAGCACACACATGCCACAAGGTTTATTTGTATTTAACAGGGCTGCAGCACAAACTGTTTATTTTAACATGCAGAAAAACACTTTGAAAACCACTAGGACATGGTTTGGTGCGTTTATTGCTCGGTATTGGATGACTTCACAGCATTTTAGCTCTTCTATCGATCAGTTTAGAATGATGAATGTACAAAAAACTAAATATTTTGTCTTTTAAATTGTAAAAAGTTCTCAAAATGGGCCAGCAGGTTTGTGAATTTTTTATTTGGTTATTTTTAAATAAAATGTAGGGCAATTAATACATAGGGACTGATTCTCTGTGGTAGTCTGACATTATTAACATTATGTAAACATCAAAATATATGTTCAAACTTTGAACTTTAGAGCTCTACAAACAAATGTTTTGAAATCTATGCGATATTTGTATTTGTTAAGAAATTCATACACTACTAGTCAAAAGTTTTAGAACACCCGAATTTTTCCAGTTATTGCAATTCAAGTTGTGCAAGTCCAATGAAAGAGTTTGAAATGGTACAAAGGTAAGAACTGAACAGCCAGAGGTTAAAAAAAAAGATAAACGATAACAAAACACAAGTCCAAGCTCTGCCAAAACTAAAACAGGAAAAAAGAACAAGATGGTAAAGCTTGAAAACATGGAGTGTCCAGCACAGTCTCCAGACTTAAACCCCATCGAGCTGGTTTGGGATGAACTGGACAGAAGAGTGAAAGACAAAAAACCTACAAGTGTCACACATTTATGGGAACTTCTGCAACAGACTTGGGAAGAACTTTCTGAAAAATATTTGATTGCTGTTTTAAAAAGAATGTCACAAGCCGTTGTATCTGTCAAAGGTGGCTACTTTCATGAAATCAAAAGTTTAGAATATGTTTTGGTCTATACATTGATTTCATGATTTCTTTTTCAACTCAAAATGCTTCATTTCAGAGTGCAATGACATAATAAACTGAATAATTTTTTGTCAAAAACTGGAAGAAGTATGTTCTAAAACTTTTGACCAGTAATGTACTTCAATCCCTTCTGAAATGGCACAAATTTAAAATGTGTTTTCTTAACTAAATATGGATTTAGATGAAGACAATTAAAACAAAACAAATGTTGATTTATACAGATGTTTGATATAAATTTTGTGTCGTTTTGCGTGCTCAACATGTTTTAGAAGATTTTATGGTTCTCTCAGTCTCTCCTGTGCAATAATTTATATGTTTTCTATCAGTTTGCAATGTTTTTGTTTTTTTACATTTATGTGCAAATAAAATTGAATCACTCTAAATTTAAAAACATAAGTCACAACAGTTCTTTTTCTAAAATCATTCAGCCCTACAGCCCCCAACACTTTTAAACACTCCTGTCGTGTCATTGGCTGAGACGGTCTTGTTATCGATGTCGACAGCTCTACGATTGGTGCAGACAGAGCCGTCAATCATAAACACTCCACTGGGAATCACCCCTTTCTCTCAGGTCTGGGTTGGATGAGTTTTGTGAAACATGCCAATCAAAAACAAGGTTTCCATTACACAGCTATCAAATATTTACAGAGCTTTCTTATTCTGTCTGTGCAGTTTGGCCAAGGAGGATTTGGTGAACACGCTGTGGCCAGTGCTCCAACATAGCCTCATATAATAACCATGTTCACAAAGAAATGGAAACTAACCACATGTACCAGAGATAAACAATTTAAAAGTGCACATATTTCTTTTATCTTCTCTGCAGGGCGTGTGTTTGAAAATAGCACCGAAAACCCCACTGGACAAACATGTATATTACAAAAATACTTTCAAAGCTTTAAACAGTATACCGCAATGTTGATCCTTAGGGCCAATCTTCAAAATATCAGATTTATTTTTCATGTTTTATTCCATTTTCTTTGAATTAAACAAGTATGGCTTTACTTTACAGCTCATGAAAACAGAGTAGATTAGTTTTCAGGTCGTACTTTACACGAAATTGAGTCTTGTGAGCTTTAACGTGTTTGAATTTTGTTATTTCCTCAAAACCGAACCTGGAGTTGTGTTTTGTTTCCTTTGCACATTTTGAGTTTGAGTAATCCTGCATTATTAGTCTGTCCACATTTCTTGAGCTCAAAATGCTCAGTTCCACCTTGTGATGTCACGAAGCGATAGTTTTCAAGTGAGCTGTTACCATTTGTTAAGTAGAGATTGGAAATTCAAGGGTTGAAATGATAAAAATGATTATAGTGAAGGTGTATGGAGTTTAAAAACAAAGTGGAGCACTTTCTGTATTACCACACGACATCACAAGGTTGAACAGAGTGTTTTCTAGTTGTGAGAGAAGAACACAACCCAAATATGTAAAACAAAAGACCAAAAGGGCTACCTATTGTTTTATTTATTTATTTATTTTGGATTCAAATCTGACTTTTGGTATATATTAGGGCTGTAACAATAACTGAAATATTGTGATTTCATATCGTCAAGTCTCACAATAATACCGTAGACTGTCACAATATATCCAATTATAAGTTTCTTTGCTTAAATGCCATTTTTAAAAATAGTAATAGCTTATAAACATTGGGAACTACATATCCCATGATTCATTTCAGTGCAGACAACATGGAGAATTATGTTTTTACTTGAAATCTTGGGATTATGACAGTAATAACTCACACCACAATCTTGTCAGGGTATTTTAAAAGCAAAAAAGTGTCCTATTTACATTATATTATATCAGCCACTCCAAAATATCGCAATAAATATCGTACCATGAGATGCATATCGTGATAATATCGTACCGACAGATTTAGATATCGTTACATCCCTAGTATATTATATATATATATATATATATATATATATATATATATATATATATTTTTTTTTACTTTCTGTGTAAACCTTACTCATGTTTGGTCTCAATATTTGTTGTCACTTCACAAATACTCAGTAGTATTTTCTTGAGAAACCTTCAGATAAGCCGTTAATCTGCGAGAATTAACCAGTAAACCATCACACACCTAACTGAAAGAGATGAAGAAAACTGACACCTCGATAATGACCTCTGATATCAAAGTGCTTTTTGAATTAAGCTGTAAAGGCGCCTCTGAGCTCATTAAACTACTTCAATTTAACTTTTAGAAGTATGTGTGTAAAGTAGCATCTCAGTAACATCGAGCTAAAGTGGTGTCAAAGAACTAATTTCCTGAAATACTAATTAGCTTGTGGGAGAACAGATGCAGTTGCCCTTGTAATAAAAAGCTCTGATTTGTTTTGCACAATTGAAGAGTAATTTGCTATAACTCAAGTACGCCTAAATTAAGTTAAAATGTTTTTCCAGTGGGTGCCGTAAAAATTCATCGTCTCAAGGTGACCATGATTTCGGATAAATTGGAAAGCGCTCTCATTATATAATCATTAGTTTTAAGCAAGTAGTAAGTAAACTTTAATTGTCTAACAGTTTTTACTTCAAGTTGTAGTTTAACGCTCTTCTAAAGAAAGTGGATTTATTTATAATGTGCATCTGGGTTTAGTTGTTGCCCAGTTTTCTTGCCCTGATTTCACAAACTTTATCTTTTCTTGCAGGAGCTGTGGCCTCCATGTTCTGGGTGGACGCTGAGCTCGGCAGTGACATTTATTTAGACGGTAGGAGACTAATGCCTGAACATGTCTGAAATGCTGTTCATACAAGTATTAAACAGGTTTGCGTTAAGTCTCTCTAAAGCAGGACAAAGAATAGAGATATAAAGTTAGGCTCTAGGCTTTCAAAATGCTGCTGTAAATTATTAAAATCACAATATTCAATTTAAATGATTACATTTGTTGTTAGAAAATAATGCACTGTGTATGGCAACGCTGTACTCTGTAAGAATCATCTATGGTGCGATCTACATGCAAATTTGTAAGTTCAGTATATTTATTCCAGGGATCTCCAACCTTTTTCCTCCACCGAGCTACCTTTACAAAATGAAAATACCAGAGCTACTCATTTTAGTGATCACAAGAAATCGAGTAAATAAAAGAGCCACGGTCTTAAATGGATTACAGTTTGATGGTTGTAAAACATAAACCATTTCTTACTGCACAAAGTTAGGCATCATAAAGATAAATTAACAATGGTTATAGCCATTTAACAAGCGCAATCAGAGATAGCAACCTGGTCCCCCATGAGGCGTTATGTGTGTGCCAACTTGTGTGATGACTGGGTGAATATTTTAGCCCGCAGATGGTGCCGAAATTGCAGAAATTGCCTAAATCCTTTATAATGGTGTGATCTTTCAATTGACCCGTGTGACGTCAAATGACCTCGGATCGTCACCAGACTTTTTTGCGGCATTAGGCATGGGGGCTTGATCCACGTACCAAATTTGGTGACAGTCGGTCCATAAATAGCGGAATTATCGTGGGTGGACACACACACAGACACACAGGGTGAATACAAAACCTGGTCCACCCTTCAGAGACCAGGTAATTAATGCAAAATTTGGTTATTCCGCACAATGCATGTAATTCAGAAATCCCTTGGCGAGCTCCTTGGAAGAGGTTTGGAGCTACCAGCATCTCTCCAAACCTCTTCCAAGGAGCTCGCCAAGGGATTTGGAGAGATGCTGGTAGCTCCCGAGCAATAGGTTGGAGAGACATTATTTATTCTGTAAAACCAAAACTACTAGAGGAATGATGATCTAGAAAACAATGTGAATGAAAGTGAAAGAAGGATTACACTGCTGCAAGGTCAGGGCTTTAATATTTGCAAATATTTGTTATGTTTCTTCGCACATTAAAGAAGACATATTGTGCTTGTATCTGCTGTATAGTTATAATCTGTGTTCATTATGTTATAATTTGGACATTTTAAATCACAATATTCTTCAGGTGTGATGCTGCCGAATCTTATGTGTATCAAGAAAATAAAATTAAATAAAAGTAGTTCCTGTTTTCAATTGATCGTCAATATGACGTATTGAAAATAAGTAGGGATGTAACAAGATATCATATCGTCAAAAGTTTCAAGATAACATCGTGGGCTGTCACAATATATCGAGTCACAAGTTCCTTTGCTTAAATGCATGATTTTATAGTAGCAACAGCTTATAAACATCGGGAACTACATATCCCATGATTCATTTCAGTGCAGACAACATGAAGAAATATGTTTTTTACTTGAATTCTTGGGATTATGACTGTAATAATTCACACCAAAATCTTGTCAAGGTATTTTAAAAACAAAAAGGTCTACAATTATATCAGCCTCTTCAAAATATCGCAATAAATATCGTACCGTGAGATGCATATCCTGATAATATTGTACTTTGAGATTTGGATATTGTTACATCCCTAACAATAAGTGATTAAAGATTGCTCAAACATGCACAAATCACTCCAAATACAACTTCGCGTGAATAAATGGTGATGGGAAACAGCTATAACAGCTCTAAAAAGTTGATTTTACATAATAGGTCTGCTTTAATCGTAACACTAACATTTTCTATTGTGACATTCCTAATCACACATAATCTGTTTAATTCCACATGTTCTGTTTTCTTGTCCTTCTCCAGAGCAGTCTACATTTGCAGACTTGACATCTTGTTTTGTGCTGTAGTAAATACTCAGCTGTCCTCTTTGTTGTTACAGGCCGGTGCTGCGTAAGCATAGTCTCAAAATAACCCTGAGAAAGTGGTCCAGGCAAATCCAAACTGAAAAACATATGTCCAAGATGTCTCTCTCATATCTTCACTCATCTTCTGTTTTCTCTAGGGATCGTGACAGTCATCGATGCCAAGTATGGACTACAGGTCAGAGTTTAATTGTGTTTATTAATATTTTGTTGTAGCTTTTGATGTAAAATGTTGAAGAAAAGGTTTTTGGTAAATGCATTTTCTGATTTATGTCATAATGTTGTTTGCTCATCAAAAACAGACCTGGAGTTGTGTTTTGTTTTATTCACACATGTTTAACCCACAAAACCTGCATATTTACGAAACTGAAACACTGTGTTCCACCTTCTCAGGTTATGTGGTAATACAGGAAGTGCTCCACTGTGTTTTAAAGTCCATACATTTTCACTATAATCATTTGGATGGTTTCAGCCCTGGAATTGCCAATCTCTACTAAACAAAAAGTAAAAGGTTAGCCAGATTGATGCAGCCTAGTGCCTCCGCTCAATTTAATTTCTCTCCAGCGACTAGGTCAGGAATCGGAATATGCTAGATGGTTTGCAAGAACCTCGGAAGTTGTAGACCGCGCAGAGCTGTGAAGCCATGATTGGGTCCCTTTTGTGGTTCAGCACAACAGTAAACAAAGCGGTCAAGATGGATGTAGATGAAGCCAGACATTCTGTGTTGGCAAGGATTCCCAAGATCGTGGATTTAAAGCTGGAACAAAGAGAATGTTTGGTGAATTTTATCAAGGGGAAAGACGTTATTGTCCTTCTTCCTATGAGATTTGGGAAAAGCTTAATATACCAGTTAGCCCTGTTAGCGGAGCATTACATACATCACGACCAAATAGCTGCGATTGGTTAAATGATAAAAAGTACCTGTCTACCGTCGAGCGAACGAATCCTAATGGTGCGAGGTCAGACGGTTTCCACAAAGTGAAACCGGCTGATGAATCAGGCTAGTAAAACATAGCTGTTAACTTGAAAACTACAGCTTCGTGACATCATAAAGTGGAACAGAGCATTTTGAGCTTTGAAGACGTAGACAGACATATAATAAAAGATTACTCTAACATGTGTGAATGAAACAAAACACAACTCTGAGTGTGTTTTTGAAAACGTAACAACATTATAACATGGCTTAAAGCTTTGCAAGAGTTATTATTTTTTGCGTAATATAGGACCTTTAAGATGAGAATCACAAGAAACATGGAAAAGTACTGTGTTTGTATGTGAGTGTCAACTTTGTTATTATATTATTAAATCTTGACTAAAACTGAAAATATTTTGCCAAAGCCTTCGTTTTTAAATTTAAATTAGTCACTAAAATCAACACTTTGCATTTCTACTGTTACGTTATGTGTCTAAACATGCATCTTGCCCTATTAACGGTGCTGCAAACTGCAAATTAACAGCCCAAATTTCCAGCTCAAATTATCGGCACGTACTTCACAAATCATCAGTTGTGTTTTTCTTGCGAGAATTCAAAATCAGATGGTAAATTCGCCGGGGTTTGAATGGTTTTGAAATCCTGCTCACCCCATTTGAAGGTAACATGACAAGTGACGCCTTTATAATGGCCCGTGCTTCTGGAGGTGCGGTGGTTGGATTTAGAGCCTCTGTGTTGATCTGTTGAAGGGGTGAGACAGAAGGTTGGCTGTAGTAACACGCTGTGAAAGGGTAATTGATATGTGAGATGTGTTTTATAATAGGATTGTCACATCATATCTTCCTGTTTTTCCTTCTGACTTCTGTCCCATCTGACTGTGCTGTGTTCACACGATTATGCAGCTATGAAGTAATATCATTTTAATATTATTTCATGACGGGAAGAGCGTAGTAAAACAGATGTTCCTAATGTTAAGGTAGTTGTATAAAACAATATAAATCAATAAAGCCCCGTCACGTAACTTTAAAAGAAAAACAACAGCAACATCAACAAAATGTTTTATTTATTCATGTTTTCAAGTTTTATGTAGTAAACACAAAACTAAAACAAATACAAAAGTTTGGACACTGTTCAGTTAGGGATCCACTTGTGTTACTTTAAAGCAAAAAAATAGACACTTTTTGAATTTGAGGCTTGCATCTCCACAAACCTGACTCTTATTTGCCCTAGATTCTTATGCTGGAAATGTTGTTCCATTGTCTGTAATATTCCATAGTATTTCATAAAACTTACACTACCGGTCAAAAGTTTAAGAACACCACACTATTTCCAGTTTTTTATTGTTTATTGCGTCACAAATAAGCAATTTGATTTGAAAAATTTATTATGGAATCAATTTATAGACCAAAATCTATTCTAAACTTTTGATTCATAAAACTGTCCACCTTTGGCAGATATAACAGCTGAACACACTCGTGGCTTATTATTTTTACATTAGAAATCAAATATTCTCCAGAAATTTCTTCCCAAGTCTGTTGCAGAAGTTCCCATAAATGTGTGGCGCTTGTAGGTTGCTTGTCTTTCACTCTTCTGTCCAGTTCATCCTAAAACCAGCTCGATGGGGTTTAAGTCTGGACACTGTACTGGACACTTCATGTTTCAAGTTTACCATCTTGTTCTTTTTTCCTGAGATAGTTTTGGCAGAGCTTGGACTTGTGTTTTGTTATATTTTATTTTTTTTAACCTCTAGCTGTTCAGTATTTACCTTTGTACTATTTCAAGCTCTTCATTGGACTTGCACGACTTGAACGGCAATAAATAACAGTGTTCTAAAACTTTTGACTGGTAGTGTGTTTAACGCCATGGAGAACGTTCCTGATCAAAGTGTGGTTTTAACTTTATACTTGCATGGAATCACGTACATACTTTGGATGTTCAAACGTTCTTCTGAATTAAAGTCTAAATTCTGCAACAATGATCATTTGGAAATAGTAATATGAATTTAAGTGCTTTTGTCCATCCCATTGGTTATTAAAAAGTTATGTCCAATTGTGTTAATCAACATTTTGAATCCAAACTCCTTTTTTTAAGCTAAATATTTGTTTCTTTTTTTTTTCACACAGCAATTATCAGAAGAGAAACCTGAAGGACTTGTCAATGAAGCTGCCAGGTACATAACTCATGTTTGCCAGACTAGTGTCCATCTCCTCCTCTTGTTTCTTATGTGTGTGTATTAGGGTTGTCAAAAGTATCGTATAAATTCAGACACTAATTCAAATACTAACAGTAAAAACGAAACTAGATACTCATTTGAGCAAGTATCAATACTGAAAAAGTCCCATTCACAGGACGGAAATGAACGTTTCCTGAATAGCTTAGAATGATCTTGAGATGAATCAGAAGAAGTATAAGAGCACATAGAAGAGTATACTCCCATGAACCACCACCAAACATCACATTCTATTATCTAAAGAAGAGTTTTTTTTATTGGCAATCAAGTTTGTCAAGTCTATTTCTTAGTATTGCAAGAGAGTTTGAAATTTTGTCTTTGTGTCTGTGTCTGTCTGTGTGTGTGTGTGTCTGTGTGTGTGTGTCTGTGTGTGTCTGTCTGTGTGTTTGTCTGTGTGTGTGTCTGTGTGTTTGTCTGTGTGTGTGTCTGTGTGTGTGTCTGTGTGTTTGTCTGTGTGTGTGCCGCTAACAGCTGTGTCGAATGGGTGCAGCAGAACAAACAGTGTCATGTAAAAGACCCTGTGCGTTGTGTTCCTCTATGTTTGTGTTTTCACCTCCAAACCAAACACAGCCCTGTCATGACAGTGTGTGGCATGCTCGCCCTTCCACTGCCACCCACACGCATGGTTAGGCAAACTGCTGTGTGTTATTGTGTAAACCTGGTACACAAATATTGTTCTGTTTTCTTTTTTTGTCTGTCAACTCGCTTAAGATGTTTTTGTTTTAACAGGCAAATCGCTCTGGCTGATTTGACTATTATCAACAAGACAGACCTGGTGAAAAACGAAGAACTAGCTCAACTCAAAGACACTGTGAGGTAAATGCCATGTTGTATTTAAAGCTCTTATATTACACAAAATTGACTCTTGTGAACGTAAAGTCATGTTAAAATGTTGTTACAGCTACATTATTAGTTTCCAGAGCTCAAAAAGTCACGTACTGGTAGTTTTCATCTTAACAACTACCTTTTAATCATAATTGCAGGGCTAAAATGATCAAAATTATTCTAGTGAAGGTGTAAGAAGTTTAAAAATGCACATGTGTGAATGAAACAAAACACAACTTCAGGTATTTTTGTAAGCAAGAAGCCGAATTATAACATACACTACAGGTCAAAAGTTTTAGAACGCCCTAATTTTTCTAGTTATTTATTGCAATTCAAGTCGTGCAAGTCCAATGAAGAGCTTTGAAATGGTACAAAGGTAAATACTGAACAGCCAGAGGTTTAAAAAAAAGATAAAAGATAAGAAAACACAAGTCGAAGCTCTGCCAAAAGTACCTCAGGAAAAAGAACAAGATGGTAAAGCTTGAAAACTTTGGTTTGGTTTTGGTTTGGGATGAACTGGACAGAAGAGTGAAAGCCAAATAACCTACAAGTGCCACACATTTATGAGAACTTCTGCAACAGACTTGGGAAGAACTTTCTGAAAAATATTTAATTTCTATTGTAGAAAGACTGAGCCACGAGTGTGTTCATGCTGCAAAAAACAAAATCTAGCCAAGTTAAAATGATTTGAATTAAGAACATTTTATCATGATTTGAGTAAATTTCTCTTGACAAGTAAAATTATCTGCCAGGGGAATATGAAAATACATCTTGCTACACTTAAAAAAAGAAAAACAGCAACTCTTTGCACTTGAAACAAAATAGTTTGCTTGAATTAAGAAAAACACATTTATTCCATTGGCAGATCATTTTACTTGTCAAGTTGAATCGACTCAAATAAAGTAAAATGTTCTTAATTTAAGTCATTTTCACTTACCTAGATATTTTTTTTTTTGTCAGTGTAGCTGTTATATCTGCTAAAAGTGGACACTTTCATGAATTAAAAGTTTAGAATACGTTTTGGTCAAGAGTAAACTGTAAAAAATTGGAAAAAGTGTGGTGTTCTAAAACTTTTGACCAGTAGTGTATATTAGAAAATAGCGTAATATGGGCCTTTTATCTTTATTTATTTATTTAGGTGACTCGATTGAGAACCAATTTTCATTTACAACAATGACCTAGTTAAGAGACAGCAGCACAACCTCTGAAAATGAGAAATATTTCCTCATGTAACATCAGTATTAAAACCTATAAAATATTAATAATCAAATCCATTATTGACTGGTTTAACATTTTAAATTTGGGCTGGTATTTTTTATTACTATTTTCGTACAAAACGTGTATTGTGGACTAGTAAAAAGTTAAATAAAAGTCATATTTTTGTTCTGATGACATGTTTGTTTAACCTTCAGGTCCATCAATGGTCTGGTGAAGATTTTGGAGACACAGCGATCAAGGTATTCGCTTTGTAAACCCATCACAGCTTTGAGTGGGATAACTAAGTCCGAGCATCTGTTTGTGCTCTACCTTAGATCTCTGTATCAAAGTTGTTTAGTCATGACACCCTCGGCCCTTCTCTTTCTCTCTCCCTCTTTCTCTCCTCCTCTCCTTATGTCCTCCTCTCCCCCTCTGAGCAAACACTAAACAGTTCAACAGTGTCCGATTACCCACAAGTCTTTGCTGTCTGACCCCAGGACTCTGTTGCATAAGTGTAAACGTGTGTGGTTGAATTGTAGCATCTCAATATATTTTTGGAAAATATTATTGGGAAGATATCTGTCCTTTTTAGGATCACCATCACAGGACAATATTTAGTTTTCTCCAACCAGCTGCCTAAAGAATCCACACAAAGCTTTATTTGAAGATGTTGAACATAGGACCTCATTTCCTAGTGAATTAGAGTGATGTGTGGAGATACTTTTTTAAATATTCCATCCAGTCCTTGTATTTGCAGAGGTCGCTGGTGCTAGGCTAGTGCATGTCAATGGCCATAGTTATCCTGCCACTAAAAACAGTCTTACCCACTCCACAAAACACCTGAAGCAAAACTGTTATTACACCAGACTGTCGATGTAAATGTCTGTGTTGATAGAATAATGTTTGAAATAAAACTAACCTTGCATCGTGTGAATTGTCGCCTGTTGAGGGACTATTTTCTCATATATCAGTCCGCCGCCGCCAAGCTTTCTATCAGGAAGTACAACTCACTGCTGCTGCTCAGACATAAATCCTTCAAAAGCAAGGTTGGTTTTACTTCTAAAATTATTCTATCGACACAAACATTAAGTCTGGTGTAATAATTGTTTTGCTTCAGGTGTTTTGTGGAGTGGGTAAGACTGTTTTTAGTGGCAGGATAACTATGGCCATTGACATGCACTAGCCTAGCACCAGCGACCTCTGCAAATACAAGGACTGGATGGAATATTTAAAAGTGTCTCCACACGTCTCCAACACTGTCCCTTCAAGTAAGAAAAGATAACTGCACAAAATATGACTGCTCTGCTTTCTCACAGGTTTATGGTAAAAAAAAAAGGCTGTAGGTGAGTTTGTAGTAAATTTAAATAACAGAATTTGGGGAAAATAATCTAAATTGACTCCACATATCAGCCAAAAAATAACAGCAGATCGTATCAGCCATCAGTTTCTCTGGATTCTAAACAATCAGTATCAACATTTGCCATGAAAAAAAAAAAAACACTGTTCGATGTCTAGAAATGAAATCTATTTTTCTTGTGATCCCAAGTATTGCTTCAGTCAACAAAAAAAATGTGTAAGTAAGTAAGTTAATAAGTAAGTTTTTTTTTTTATTTATATAGTGCATTCACAGAGTCTTTACAGGCTTTAGAGGTGTAGGCCTTAAAAAAAGAATTATATTGAAGCAATGCTTATAAATTATGGAAAATACCTAAATACTTTATGAACACTTTAGGCAACTTTATTGTTACAGATTTAAAGATTAGTACATGTTGTTGGCAACTTGATGGGGAATGAATCTGAAATTACAACAACTGTCTACATCACTAAAGCTCAAAATGCTCTATTCCATTTTGTGATGTCATGAAGAGGTAGTTTTCAAGTTAAAAACTACCTTACACTTTTCAGTTCAGAAGAGACTGACATTTCCAGGTCTGAAAGTGAAGATGTGTGGAGTTTAAAAACACAGTGGAGCACTTATTAAGACATGACATCATAAGGTGGAATCGAGTGTTTTACGTTTGAGAGAAGAACACAGCCTAAATATGCAGGATTTGTGAGTTAAACGTGTGAATGAAACAAAACACAACTCCAGGTCTGATTTTGATGAGGAAACAACATTATAACGGATCAGAAAATTGAGTAACATCAGCCCTTGAAGGAATGCGATTTGACTATTTATTGTGTTAAATAGCATGATTAAAAGGGTGTCTTGTTTATGTGCACGAAATTAATATTGTCCAAGAGTTGTCTGCATTTGCCCTCAAAAGCTGTTGGGACTCAGCAGGGTCCAGACCAGGGTCCAGACCAGATCGCACATGAAAGAGGACGTGCAGAGAGGGGTTAATCACAAAAACATTCCCACAGCCTGCTCCCGACGGGTCTGAACTCAGCGCTGGTGCGGCCGAGTTGAAAGAGTTAGAAGGTTTATTTTTGTCCCTTCAATAAGTCAGATGGGAATGCTTTATAGTTTAGGGACCACAGATTAACTAAACTAACTAAACTACGCATGTTAGTTAGTGGTTTTTCAGGTGTTTACGGAGAACTTAATGATGAAGTTACAGGTTCTATATTACGCAAAATTCAGCTTTAAGTCATGTTAGAATGTTGTAACTTAATTAAAAACATACCTGGAGTTGTGTTTTGTTTCATTCACACATGTTTGACACACAAGTCTTACAGAGGTGGACCTAACTTGAGCAATCTTTTATTATTCGTCTGCTTATATCTCTAAAACTCAAAATGCTCTGTTCCACCTTGTGATGGCATGAAGCGGTTTTCAAGTTAGGTCCAACTCTGTAAGACTTGTGTGTCAAACATGTGTGAATGAAACAAAACACAACTCCAGCTCTGTTTTTTTTTTTTTTTTTTACAAGAAAAGATGATTTTATTTGTTTAATTTCCAGAAAGGGCTGCACAATATTATTCATGCACATAGATAATACATCAATCTGAATATTTTTTCTCATTCTGAAACATTAAAATATCTGATCTGATCTGAACAACAGTGCGTACTTGACCAGTATTGTGCAGTCTAGATGGTGGGAGTGGGTTTTGTGTTAACACTACTGATAATTTATTAATTAACAGGTCCTTTTTTAATAAAAAATGTCATGTTGTATGTTACAAATTAAATAAAAAAACAAACAAACATGAAATAAATAAAAAAAAACTCCAGGTATGCTTTGATGATGAACAACAGGGTTCCCAGGGTCATAGAAATCCTGGAGAAGTCATGGAAATTGAAAATGTCATTCAAGTCTTGGAATTTTAGTATCTCTTTCACGCAACTACAGCGTTCTTTTAAGTTATCATTAGGCTATTATGATTATTTCCAAACGTTTGCGCCTTAAAAGAGACGACAATAAATGCACTGACAGTATTTTGAATGTTAAAAACTATAATACCAAACCATAAGGTGAGTGGAAAGAGTTAACATTTCATATTTAGTCCTAAAAGTCTGATCAATTCTACACATGTCGGTGCCTTAAATCATGGAAAATTCACTTGAGGTCATGGAAAAGCTTAGAAATTTTGTCAGTGAAAAACCCTGTACATCAGAAAATAGTTTAATATGGGCCCTTTAATAAGTAAGTACTTTATGAATGTGACAACAAAGGTATTTAACTGCTTACTGTGTGTGATACTACTCGTTATCCATTAATCCTTGATCCCTAATCTAAACTATTCTCATTCATCTCAATCAGACTGAAGTGTGACTGCTGTGTGTTGCAGGGTGGACCTCTCCGAAGTCCTCGACCTACATTCCTTCGACAGTGAGAATGTCGCAAAGTGAGTAGATTTTTTATTTAAAGAATACACACACATATATATTTTCCTATACATTAGATTTATATATATATATTTCATTTTCTTCTGAGCTCAAATGCAGATTTCAAGGAGTCGTGTTGATAAACTCATGACAAACGACTTCTGAATGACACAAGTTGAAAAACATGTGACCAATGAACCACGTCACGACAATTACTATGTCAATTTATCATTCAACACAACAATATAACAATGGAACAATATATTTTTGGGCTCAGTATTTATCGTGAGTACTTTTTCTTTGCAATAATTGAGAGAATTTTGCTATTTTAGTTGTAACCTGATAAGATTTAAGCTTTAGAAGGTTGAATAAGTGACTTCATTCTATTGTTTATTTGTTGCTGCTTAGGACTTTTAATGTTACTGTCTATTTTAAAATTGGTTTACTGGGTTTACCTTTGCGTCAGTGGCATGAAGTAGTTTCAGTATTATCATTTGTTATATTTCTCTGTACCTAAATATATTATTGGGACAGGCCTACAATTGTGTATGGACTGGACCACAACTGGATTAATTAATATATACTGGGATATAATAACACTTTTACATTGATTGTTTTTTTTTTTGATAGGGTAAAATGGCCCAAACTTATTTCATATTTTATGTAGGTGAGTGTGGTCACTGCTAAATAGATCAATAAATAGATAATGGAAATATATACATTCTTAATTAGTGAAGATTCTGTTTCAGCATGTACCCTCATTTACATATTACATATCAAACTTAATTCGTAAACCTAAACATAACATTAGTCATAATTTTTTGACCGTAAGTACTACATCAGGATTATTGTGGATTACTGTTTAATTTCATTGTAAAATATCTTCATAAAACAAAAACAGAAGACTTCAAAAGAGTCATTAAAACTTCCCGTGGTTGAATTTTTAGATCTTGGTCTTAAAATTTCTGCAATATGTAACTTCTCTGGATTGCATTTCTCTTCAAAAGTTTAATTTGTCAACCACCATTATTTGGTTAAATAACAGCCTAAATAAAGAGCGGCGGAACCAATAACTGAGAACAGAACGCAGCCGCGGGCCAGAATACTCCGAACACGTCACTGAGCATCATGCGCTACAGCACCCCAAGCAACATGTGAAGCAGAAGAGAGTAAAAACAAAGAAAATCTCAGCAGAACATGAAGTTTGACTAATGCCGTTACGTTGTTTTTCAACTTTGGTTTTACGTTACCGCGCTACACATTTCATGCTGAGGTCATGAGGAAGAATCTCTCTCCTCCACATAGTCCTTTGTTTGAGAAATAAATTAACACAAATTCAAGAATTTAATTTTTCTTTGCTTGGAGGTTTATGAAATAGGCCGCGAAATAGGTATTATGTTTTTATATAAATGGTCTTAAAAAGATCTTAAAAAGACTTTTTAAATTTAACTTGAAGAAACCTGTAGGATCACTGTCTTTCACTCTTCATGCTCCCTTACTGCCCCACTAGAGATGGGACGAGACACAATTTCTACAAAACGAGACGAGAGACGAGATTGTGTCCACAAGAACAAGACAAGATGAGATTTTAACAAAAGTCCTAAAATTGAAATGTCATGATTCAGTTTCCAATTTTGACCTCACAGTTTTTCTTACATATTTGATTTAATATTTTTTGTTTCCACTCTAGTGTTGCTTTTTGGAACTGTAAGAGATGTAACTCACCAGTATGTGACCCTTTTTTGTCCAATCCCAAAAAAAAAAAAAAAAAATCTGGCAAGATCATTTTTCTCATGTTTGCACGATCGTGTGGTAATTTGGTTTCATGAGATCTTACGCCCCTATAATTCAGCTGTCAATATATATATTTCATATTTAAAATGCTTGAAAATGATCACTTTTGATGAATTTTTTTTGTCTTTTGGGGTATGTTGAGAGAGATATTTGACAGTAGAAAGACAGCAAGCAGTTTCCCTGATGTGTCAGGATACACTATGCAAAATTTTAGGGTTATTTGACCATTTATGCAGTTTATGCAGTACCTTAAAATTTACAGTTACATGATTTTGCCAATAGCTTTTCTTAAATAGGGTGTTTTTTGGGCCGAGTCAACTTGTGATGGCCCAAGATATAAGATAACAGGAAAAAAAGGTAGCAAAAAAACATTCAGAAAAGTAGATCTGACTTCTTACATGTGTTTATAGTAAGACTTTAGTTTGTTGTACATTAATGGCCAATTTCCCCTCAATCTTCTCGGTCCGTTTGTCTTCATGCTAAACTTCCAGTGTAGTGCAAATGTAAGTCGAGCTTGAGTACACCCGGGCTCTATGCTGCTACAGAGCTACGCCTTTTGTGTGCTCCTCTGTTGTGTGTACCCTATAGTCTTTGATACTGTTGCTCCTTCTTCTCCTCTCTAATTAACAGACTCTTTCTCTCGCCCGGTAGCTCCCTAGGGTGGCCATCATATTGTTTGCGGTGTAGAAAGTTACCTCATGAATGCGCTCAATGTTCATCCTTCATGTGAATAGCGTTAAAGCTCTCTTAACATGGACCCGGGTCAGTGTATGTATGCAACCAGGTGCGGAGGATTAAAGCCGTGTGTGTCCATTGGCCCCCACTGTGGCCCCTCTTGTTCTGACAGATAGTCTCTTTCCCCCTGCCTTTGAGAAGCGGGGCCCCTCCTCCTCTGGGACCCTCGCTGGCTGTTTGAAGCGGACCCCCACAGCTCCGCCTGTGTGGTACAAACAGCAAAGGGATGGGGCCAGATCTCGTGACACAACATCTCAATCTGGTTTGACTCCTCGGCCATTCAGATGAGCATGGAGAATTAGGCGAGGAAGATTAGCTGTAACTGAATAGAATTTTCGAATGCTCTGCGCTGTTTTCTGATCTCGTGTGTTATAATGTTGTTTGCTCATTGTTTTATTCACACATGTTTAACACACAACACACCCTGCGTATTTAGGCTCTGTTCTTCTCTCAAACAGAAAACATTGTGTACTACTGTGCGATGTCATGTAGTAAAACAGGATGTGCTCCATACACATTCACTAGAATCATTTGGATAATTTCAGCCCTGGAAATGCTGATTTCTATGGAACAAAATGTAAAAGGGGCTGTAAACTTACTAGGTGAAAGAACATTTTGAGCTTTAGGGATACAGAAAGACTAGGGTCCAGTCAAGCAGAAGTAAACAGCAAGGCCAAAAATTCAAGTTAGTGCATCTGATATAAAAATGTATTGAACAGATACATATGTACTCTAGTTTATGAAACTGTTTACCTTTTTTCTGTACCATTTTTGGTTCTAAAGTTACATACGTTTTAAACAGACCATGTATGAAACATGGAACAAAAATTATTTCCCAAATTTCAAAGACCTGCAAATCATGTAAATAAATGGATGTATTTCATCATATCTTGTGTTATTCGATCTTTGAACTGTTGATGAAGGTACATGATTTTTCAAAAAAAAAAAAAACAGTATTTAAAATTATAAAAATTTGCTTGGAAGGACTGACATATTTTATAGAAATAGTTTCCTTTCATTTTGAAGTAATATTAAAGTATTCTGAAGAAAAAAGCTGACAAATTATGCAAAATCATGCACCTTCTACTTGTTTGCACAATTTTCCCTCTGTTACTTTTCCCTCCGTTACCATGACCTTTCTTAATAAAAAATCTCATTACTCAAAAAGTAAGAGATTTTTCAACCTAATCTTGTACCATATGGTAAAAAACTATATTAAGCAAATATTCAAACCAGTTTGTTAAGGATATGTAAGTGAGAACCAAGAGTTATCACTGTTTGTATTTATTGCCCAAAAAGTGCTGCATATTTCATTCCCTCCGTTACCGACATGAGTTTTAAAATTTTTGTCAACAACTTGAAAGAATATCACAGGTTTAACTTTACCCTGTTGGAGTGTTAACTCTTTCCTACATTCTGATATCTTACTTATTTCAATAGTCCCTCTAGTTTCTGAATAAGAGCTATTTGAATGTAAAAAATCTGCCCTGTTTCCCTCCGTTACCGCTTGACCGGACCCACTAATAATAAAGGAATACTCAAACATGTGTGAATGAAACAAAACTCTTCAGGTATGTTTTTGATAAGAAAACAGCTTTATTACATGACTTAAACCTCACAGGAATACATTTTAAATCCAAATCCAGTTAATTTATAAAGCACTCTTAAAAACAACAAAGTGGAAGTGAAACAATACTGAAGCACTGTAATGGATAGGCTGGCTTGTATGTTGGATGTGCAGATCTCTCCATGCCCGTTGCTGTGTCTATTTGGAATAAGAACTCAGGATTTTCATCCCAAAAATTGGATCACATATTATCACTGGGTTTTTTAATCAGCTAAACATATTATTATGATGAACTGGAAAGAACGTAAACATAAGTGCTTCGACATAGACAGTTGATACAAAGACTTTTTGGATTTAATTTCTGTGGAAATTAAATAAAAAACAAACAAACACATCGTTGGCCTATATGGACAAAGCACAGTAAAATAAGAATAACATACTGTCGGACAATGTCAAAATATATGTGTATGTAAATGCTTGTATAATGTAATGTACGTGCAAGTGCGTTTTGGGGTTGCCAAAACAAACAAACGAAAGATATGGGAAGGGAACAGAACATATGTAATTGTATGTAAATTAAATTTGATTTGAGCCCTAAAATGTAAATACACACAGAAACCCCCCCTACCCCCTCTTTCTTCTTTTTTTTTCCCTCTCTCTCTTTTTTCTTTCTTTGTATGCGTGTTAGTTTTATATTTTATGTCTATTATTTATTTATTTATTTATTTATTTCGGTCACAGGTATATTTTGACATTAATTCACAGTCATATTTAACCTACACAGACCGAAAAGGTGTAGGCTGAAGATTAAGCTTATTATGCCTACCCTTTATTCCTTTATCTATCTTGTTATTAATGTGCTGGGTATCCACTCCCTCAAAAATGACAAATTATAAAAAAAACAACAACAAAAACAAAGTGCTGTAAACAAAGATAAAAACATATTTAACACAATGAAAAAAATGATTATTGAACAGTAAAAGACATCAAAACTAGTTAAAAGCCAAAGAAAAGTGTGGATGTTTTAAGAAGTGATTTAAAAGCAAGAACAGAATGAGCTTGTTTTATGTGAATAGGCAACTTATTCCATAATTTAGGCCCAATGACAGAAAGAAAATGCTCCGTCTCCTCTGAGCTTCCTCCTGGACTGAGGAACCACGAGTAGAGTATGTTCAGCAGATCTGGAGAGTGTGGCACCAGCAGGTCAGCAAGGTATGGTGAGGCAAGGTCATTTAGGCATTTAAAAACAAATAAAAGTATTTTAAAATCCACTCTGTAATGAACAGGGAGTCAGTGAAGGGCAGACAGAGGATGTTTAGGGATTGGGGATATTATTTTGTATATTATAGGACTTTAAAAGATGCACTATGTCATTTTTTGTGGGGGGTCCGCTACGTTCCATGCCTGGAATGTTCCGCAGTATGACATTATACTTATCAGTCTCCATGGGATCCAGCAGGTGACGTGTCCAGGCCAAGTTACAGGTCAGATCTTTTGTGAGGCAAGCCTGGTCAGTAGGAGTAGGTCTTAAAAATGCATGCTTTTTTTTTTTTTTTTATCAGTTATCAGTCAAACCACTTGCAATTTCTTTACATTAACCTCAAAATACTTTTTATTTAGCACAACTTGTCAGATTACAGGGAATTACACCACCTCTATGTGCTTCTATTTTACTTGTACAAATAGAAATCATTGGTGTCCTGCTCTGACTTATTACAACACTTCTATTTGTACTTGTTTTTTTACTTGTACAAATAGAAATCATTGGTGTCCTGCTCTGTTTTTACTTATTTAACATCATTTCTACGTACTTAGTTGATTACTCTTTTATTATTATGTGTTAGGGCAGTAATTTCTTAAGTCTAACTGTGGGTTTATGTACAAAATTCAACTGGCTACTGGAGACAATTGTATTATTAGTCAAAAATCTGCATCTGTATCAGTATTTGACTCGTCCTGGACACCACATTAAGGTTTGAGGGGTTTGTTTGGGGGTCCCAGCGTGAGGTGTGTGGGCTTGAATTGCTGTTTCTAAAACCTTCCATTCAGAGGTTCTCCTCATTAAGCATTGATACGCACCATCGTGTATTACACATTAAATCGCAACAGACACTTCTTTCATTTACATTATGACTTCATACATAACAGTTCTATGCTTTTAGTCTTTTGCTTTGTATAAAATATAACAGTACAGTAATATATTTTTAAACTCATGTACTGTGGGGTTTGATTTCTACAGATATGCCTGTTATAATTCAATTGAAACATTAGTAAGAACACATAATATCTGGTTCATAGTTTCTAAAAGTGAGTAGTAAAAAATAATAATAATGGTATACTTACTATAATTGACTTCAAACAACAGGATGCAATCTTACAAATCAACAAAAAAGTTATTATAGTAAATGTAATGGTTATGGTAATTACAGAAAATAATCTTAATTTTTTTATTAAAACTTAAAATTTGACATTTATCCTTAACATTTATCCTTGCACCTGTTATACCAGAGTATTAGGCATGTGCGAAAATACCAAAATATTGATATATCGTATAGCTTAATGTGAAGATACAGTATCGATATCGTGGACTGCTGTATCGATAAATCACCAACATGGGTGTAACGATATCCAAGTCCCACGGTACGATATCGCCACGGTATAAATCTCACTGTACGATATTTATTGAGATATTGTGGAAAAGCTCATGATATGGTGGGGAGGCTCACGATTAGAGATGTAACTGTACGATATTTTCACAATATACATCTCACGGTACGATATTTATTGCGATATTTTGTGGAGGTTAACAAAACTGTAAATATGCTACTTTTTCCTCTTAAAATACCTTGACAAGACTTAATCCAAACAGACTTAAAAGTGTTTAGAACTGTTATTTCTTCATGCAGTCTGGAGCAAAGGATCATGGTCTATGTAGTTCTTTTTTTTAAACTATTGCTGCACTATAACTCTTAATTTAAGCAAAGAGACTTGTAATTCGATATATTGTGATGATCCTCGATATTATTGTGAGAACTTTGACGATACGATATCACGATATTTCAGTTACTTTTACATTCCTAATCAGCAAGAGTATGTTTTGGTGTATTTTACTCAATTATTTTGTTACAGAGCTACAGTTTTGTTGCTTGTTCATAGGAAGGAAACTTGTTTATGCAGTACAATTGACATTTTTACTGTTCTGATGATTAAAATGTTTGTGTTTCATATTCACTTTGCATAAGAAGTGGTTACACAAAGACTTGTAGTGTCACAGCCATGAATTAGCCTTTATTTTTTCTTGAACCGTATCGAATCGATTTGAAATATATTCAGTCAAAAGCACACTGTATCGAGTTATGTATCGTATCATGGCATCGTATCAGGTACTGGCAACTTCTTAATGATACTCAGCCCTACCGAGTATAGTAGAATCCATATTTCAGAAATTTCTCGATAGTCGTTGAACTTACTATCATACATGTTCCAAAACAATTACCCATTAATTATTATCAAAAATATGTTTGACTATATTTTAATTATAATATCTATTTATTAAGGCATCACCTGTATATATGTGCCAATCTAAAACAATTCAAAAAAGATCTTGTTTTCTGTCGGCATGATGAAGAGGAATGAGCTATTTTAATATTCTTTTATATTATTATGTACATTTAATTAGTTTAGTTTAGGATTATGAAAACTGAGCTACTGACCTGACCTAGAGATTCTTGTGATCAGACCTGTATTTTTTAAATTTTTTTTTTTTGGTCATACCTTGTTTTGGTTGCGCTCCTTCCTCAGAAGTGTCACATGATGTTGCTGCGGTGTGTCTGGTCAGCTGACGTCCGCCCACGTAAAATCATCATAACGTGAAAAGCGAATGAACCTAATCGGACTGAGATGTTTACAGTATTTACATTAGATGATCTCAATAGAACGAATACTAACTTGGCTATTTACAAAATTCATTATTTTGGCGATAAAATGCAAGGAAAAAAATGACCTTTGTGTTGAAACATAACAATCTCACCATCATACAGAGTGGGTAGAGTCTGTGTAAGATCTACTTCTACTTACAATGCACACAATAAAGTCTTAAATCAGTTGTCTATGGGGTATTTAGACTTAGACAAATTTTCTTTATCCACAAGGGAGATGATTCAAACTTGAACGTTATTAACTTTATTCTCTCTGTCTCTGTCCCACAGTTTGTCTGAGAAGCTGCAGCTCATGAGATCGTCCCATCCTCATCTGGATAAGGTATCATCTTTCCTCCTCTCTCCTACTCCTCCACGTTCTCTTCTCCCCTACTCCTCCTCTCCCCCTCTCTCTCTCTGTTCCTCTTTCCTTTGCTCCTTTCCTCCTCTGTCCTTTCATCTCCTTTCATCTCTGTCCTCGTCTTCCCTTCTCCTCCTCTCTTCCCTACACCTCCTCCTCCCCTCTGTCCTCCTCTCCTTCCTCTTCTTTCCTCCTCTCTCGGTTTTATCTCTTCCTCTGTCCTCCTCTGTCCTCTGCTCCTTTCCTCCTCTCTCCTTTCATGTCTGTGCTCCTTTTCCCTTCTCCCACTCTCTTCCCCTCTCCCCCTCCTCTCCCCCTTTGTCCTCCTCTTTTCCTCTTCACTCCTCTCCTCCTCTCTCCTTTTCATCTCTCCTCCTCTCATCCACTATCCTTACCTCCCCGTCTCCTCTCTTCCCCTCTACTCATCTTCTCTTACTCTGTCCCCCTCTCCTTCTCTCCCGCCTCAGTCTCTCCTCCTCTGTCCTCTGCTCCTTTCCTCCTCTCCTTTCATCTCTGTCCTCCTCCTCCTGTCCATTTCTCCTTCTCTGTCCTCCTCTACCCCTCTGTATCTCTATCTCTCCTCCTCTGTCCACATGTCCCCCTCTCCTCCTCTCCGTCTCTCCTCCTCTTCTCCTCTATCCTCTTCTGCCCCTCTGTCCTCCTCTCTTCCTCTTCTCTTCTCTCTCCTTTATAATCTCTCCTCCTCTGTCCTCGTCTCCCCTTCTTCTCCTCTCCTCTTCTAACCTCCTTTCCTTCTCTCCTCTCCTCCTTTGTCCTCTGCTCCTTTCCTCCTCTCTCCTTTCATCTCTGTCTTCCTCTTTCCTTCTCCTCCTCTGTCTTCCTCTCCTCCTCTGTTCTCTTTGTTTCGAGTTGTGTTTGCTAATGTATTCCAACACATCATTTCCTCTGGCATAAAGTCTTTACCAGAGACCGTGTCCCCCCGGGCCAAATGTCACCGAGGTGAAACTCCCCGTCCCCCCTCTGTCCCCCCTTCGTCCCCCTCGTCCCCTCCGTCCCTCTCTGCGGTCTGAGTCGGGGCTTTTGATGTGGGTCGGGTGGTTCTGCTCGTATAGGGCCCATAGAATAGACGGGCACGTGAAGCTGGCTAGACAGAGCAGAGTCTGTGCTGCTGCTACTGCTGTTTCTGACACAAGTGTGAAAGGTTCTCAATACAAAAGAGCCTGGGATCACAATGTTTTTTTTCTTATATTGACAGTAAACTTCTTTTTAAAGGTCCTATATTATGCAAAATTGACTCTTGTGAGCTTTAAACCATGTTAGAATGTTGCTACCTCCTCAAAAACAAACCCAGATTTGTGTTTTGTTTCACATGTTTAAGAAATCCTTCATTATTCATCTGTCTACATCTCCAAAATTCAAAATGCTCTGATCCACCTCATGATGTCATGAAGCTGTAGTTTTCGAGTAACTACTACCTTTTACCTTTTGTTTAGTAGAGTTTGGAGATCCCTGGTTTGAAATGATCCAAACGATCCTAGCAGAGGTGTATGGAGTTAAAAAAAACGCAGTGGAGCACTTCTTGTATTACCACATGTCACCACAAGGAGGGTTTTCCATTTAAGAGAAGCTTAAATATGCAAGATTTATGTGTTAAACATGTGTGAATGAAACAAACACAACTCCAGGTCTGTTTTTAATGAGGAAACAAAATTGTAACATAGATAAAAATGTGAATACTAGTAGTAGTAGTAAGTAGTAGTAGTAGTAGTAGTAGTAGTAGTAGTAGTAGTAGTAGTAGTAGTGGTAGTAGTAGTAGTAGTAGATAGTAGTAGTAGTAGTAGTAGTTAGTAGTAGTAGTAGTAGTAGTAGTAGTAGTAGTAGTAGTAGTAGTAGTAGTAGTAGTAGTAGTAGTAGTAGTAGTAGTAGTAGTAGTAGTAGTAGTAGTAGTAGTAGTAGTAGTAGGTAGTAGTAGGTAGTAGTAGGTAGTAGTAGTGATAATTGTAATAGTAGGTAGTAGTAGTTCGTAGTGGTAGTAGTAGTGGTGGTAGTAGTAGTAGTAGTAGATAGTTGTAGTAGTAGGTAGTAGTTAGTAGTAGTGATAGTTGTAATAGTACGTAATAGTAAGTAGTAGTAGTAGTAGTAGTAGTAGTAGTAGTAAGTAGTAGTAGTAGTAGTAGTAGTAAGTAGTAGTAGTAGTAGTAGTAGTAGTAGTAGTAGTAGTAGTAGTAGTAGTAGTAGTAGTAGTAGTAGTAGTAGTAGTAGTAGTAGTAGTAGTAGTAGTAGTAGTAGTAGTAGTAGTAGTAGTAGTAGTAGTATAGTAGTAGTAGTAGTAGTAGTAGTAGTAGTAGTAGTAGTAGTAGTAGTAGTAGTAGTAGTAGTAGTAGTAGTAGTAGTAGTAGTAGTAGTAGTAGTAGTAGTAGTAGTAGTAGTAGTAGTAGTAGTAGTAGTAGTAGTAGTAGTAGTAGTAGTAGTAGTAGTAGTAGTAGTAGTAGTAGTAGTAGTAGTAGTTAGTAGTGTAGTGTAATAGTAGTAGTAGTAGTAGTAGTAGTAGTAGTAGTAGTAGTAGTATAGTAGTAGTAGTAGTCAGTAGTAGTAGTAGTAGTAGTAGTAGTAGTTAGTAGTAGTAGTAGTAGTAGTAGTAGTAGTAATGTTAGTAGTAGTAGGTAGTAATAGTAGTCATAGTCGTAGTAGTTAGTAGTAGTAGTTAGTAGTAATGTTAGTAGTAGTAGGTAGTAATAGTAGTCATAGTCGTAGTTAGTAGTAGTAGTAGTAGTAGTAGTAGTAGTAGTAGTAGTAGTAGTAGTTAGTAGTAGTAGTAGTAGTAGTTAGTAGTAGTAGTAGTAGTAGTAGTTAGTAGTAGTGTAGTAGTAGTTAGTTTAGTAGTAGTGGTAGTAGTAGTTAGTAGTAGTAGTAGTAGTAGTAATAGTTAGTAGTAGTTGTAGTAGTTAGCAGCAGTAGTAGTGGTAGATAGTAATAGTAGTCGTAGTTAGTAGTAGTAGTAGTTAGTAGTAGTAGTAGTAGTAGTAGTAGTAGTAGTAGTAGTAGTTAGTAGTAGTAGTTAGTAGTAGTTAGTTAGTAGTAGTAGTAGGTAGTAGTAGTTAGTAGTAGTAGTAGTAGTAGTAGGTAGTAGTAGTAGCTTAAAGAAGACTTAAATGACATACAAACAACAAAATGTGATGTGAGTGCTCAGAAGGATCCTGATCAGAAACATATACTTCTCACCTGAAACGCTGAAGTTTTCTTAAAGGGCCCATATTACTGTATTTTCTGATCTATGTTATAATGTTGTTTCCTCCTCATTCACAACATGTTTAACACACAAACCCTGCATATTTAGACTGAGTTCTTCTTTCAAACTCAAAACTCTCTGTTTCACCTTGTCATGTCATGTGATACAGGAAACACTCCACTGTGTTTTCCGTACACATTCACTAGAATCATTTGGGTAATTTCAGCCCTGGAATTGCCATTTTCTACTAAACAAAGGGTAAAAGGGAGCTGTTAACTTGAAAAATACCGCTTCCTGACACGGCATTTTGAGATTTTAAGGATTACTCAAACATGTGAATGAAACAAAACACAACTCCAGTGTGTTTTTCAGGAGATAACAACATTATAACATGACTTAAAGCTCACAAGAGTCAATTTTGTGTAGTACAGGAGCTTGAAGTAGATATATTTGTCATGTAATCAAAACTGCCAGGAGTTTTCTTAACCAAAATTTGCCATTTTAAGCTGACGTGTCATTTTCAACGTGTCTAGAAAAGCAACTGAGCCTCTTAATTACAACTATCAGTTTTAACATATATTTCCAGTCTTAAGCAAAACCAGCGAACTCATTAGAAACATTTACAATACGAAGTGATTTTACGCCCCGGCTGATGACTTTGTGAATGATCGCGTGAAAATCCACAAGTCCCTTCGGCACCTCCAGACCCAAAGCCCCCGGCACCTCCGCTCCGACCCCAGCGACCCCCCCCCCCCCCACCCATTTTCACACCAGCGCTCTGCCTCCTCTCCCGGCTTCCTTACGCCATTTAAAGGGCACTTTGCAGATATTTGGGGGGTTTGTGTCGAAGTGTTAAGGGCACACACTTCCTTGTCATTTGGTATAACAACAGAAAAACAGCATTCTCATTTACATGTAAAGGGCAGCGTGGGGAGGGGAGGGGGGCGGGAGGAGGGGGGCCGCGGGGGCTTCACGCGGGAACGAGGGAGCGGAGAAAACAGAAAACAATGATGTTATTTGCTCAAACACACTAGACCAAGCTCGGCTCATCCTGTGGTAAAAGTACATGAGAAGGAGAGCGGATAACAATGTGATTACAGTGACAATTACGAGGTTTAAGACTAACTAACTAGTGTGAAATTTTTTTGTCTTTTTAACATTTTTTCGAACAAATGTTTATGACTGAAGACGGATTGAACCTTTACTAAACTTTTTAAATTTAAATTACAGATAAATCTATAATTGGCGGTATGTCTGAGCTGTGCAATTTGGGTTGAAATGGCAACTAAGATTAGCCTGATTCATCAGCTGGTTTTACTTCGTTTCACTTCGTACAAACCGTCTGACCTCGCAGTGTTAGAATTCGTTCACTCAGCAGTAGGCAGGTACTTTTTATCATTTAACCAATCACTGCTATTTGGTCGTGATGTATGTAATGCGTCGCTAACGGGGCTAACTGGTATATTAAGCTTTTTTAAAATCCCGTAGGAAGAAGGGCAATGACGTCTTTCCTCTTGATAAAATTCACCAAACATTCTCTTTATTCCGGCTTTAAATCCTCGATCTCGGGAATCGTTGACAGCACTGAATGTACTTCCCTTCGCTGATTGGCTGGTGCTCGAACTTGCAGAACCGTCTATTGCAGGAGTGTTGAACTCAAATTCACAGAGGGTCAAAATTAAAAACTGGGACTAAGTTGTGGGCCAATCTAAATATTTCTTGAAACATTTCAACAACATCTGCATGTTTTCTCTTCTTTCGATATATGTATTTTAATGCCTTTTCTTATTAAAATAAATGTTAAATAATAGTTTTGCTTAAACATTGAACTCAGAACAAGCAAAATATAAAAAATAATAACGTTTAAAAAAAAAAAAAAGTCTCTATAGTCTGTAGTCGGTGGGCCAGCTCTAAAACATATTTGAAATGACTTTGCAGGCCAAATATAATTATATCACGGGTCAAATTTGGCCCCCAGGCCTGAGTTTGACATGTCTGGTCTATTGTATTTGGATTCCTGGCCTAGTCGCTGGAGAGAAATGAAATTGAGCAGAGGCACTAGGTGGCGCCAGCCTGGCTAAACTAAGATAAACTTAACTGATAAATTAGAGTTCTCAGATTTGATACTAGTGTTTTTGGCACGAGCTATTATGTGTAATGATTGGGAAAATGCTTGTCTGTATCCCAAGGAGAAAATTTTCTTTAGTTAAACTTAAGGAACTTTCATGCTTAAGAGAATTTGACGCCGATGAACATTAAATCATCCCATTTTCATTTTAATTTGTGTATTTCATGGTCCTGTTTTTTTTTCTAAATGCTTTATAAAGTCATTTCTAGTCGATAGAAGTTTCCCTATGCCTAAAACAAGAACGAATATTACTGTATTACTCATCACATCAAAATAGGGAGGCAAGTGGGACTAATCCTGGACCATCCATGAATCCATGACCATAACGGGACCAGTCCAAGTCTGCGTCTGGACTAAACCAAGACCAAACCAGGACAGGCTAAATTACAGAGTGCCCTGTTTTGTTATTGTACTTGTAGTTCCCTCAGCAAACATGTTCTAAAATACATGGGATTAGTTCATATTTTAGTCTTTTGTCCACTCTGAATCTGAATCTGGAATCCTACTTTTTAAACATACATCTTTAATTTAATCACAAATGTAAAACTTGTCAGAAAAATCACAACTCGCACTGCAATGACAAGTCAATTCTTAACCTGAAGTCATGAATTTCTTTGTTTTACTGCCCCACAGAGTATTTTAACGGTGACTTTTGAAGTGCCTGGGGACCTCTGCGAAGACTCTCTAAACATCTTTGTCCAGGTATACGCTTGCACCACGCTCCGGTCTCATGCTGCCAATTCTAATTCCCAACAACAAAACCGCTCTTTGAAAAGTAAACTTCCATTTTCCGCTGTTTCAGGACCTTCTGTGGGAAAAGCTGTTCTGTAACAAAGACGGGCAACCCATGACTGTCATTCGACTCAAGGTACAGTGAAAAACAATGGTCGTCCTACTGTCAGCTGTGATCTATTTGCTACGGGTTTTATTCTCTGTTTCAATTGGCCCCACAAGTTCTATTCATAGTGTGGTTAATGTGTGACCACTAACTTGTGACTGAGAGGTGGTTAGTAAGTTACATTTACTTGTGTGACTTTTCAAAGACATTGTGTTTCTCAGAGTAGTTTTCTACCACCATACTTGTACTTCTAGGTAGTAAATATTTGAAGTAGCAATACTCTAATTACAGTAAACGTTTTGGTTACTTGTCCCACTGTGAGTAAGACTATAAGTGGCTAAATTAAATGATTTTGAAATGTTTTTTATGTTATTTTGTTCAGGTTTGGCCTATTTTTGTCTATTTTTATATATAAACTTGCATTTTCACCAAATAATTTTACATTTCATAATACTTAAAGGTGTAAAATGTAACTTTTCTGGTGGAGGGTCCTTCATCCGTTCGTCTCCACTGAAATATTACTGCTTGGTCTCGAATGTATGTATAAATTATCAGTCTCAGGTCTGATCTGTGCAGAGGCGAGCCCGCTCACAGTAGAATGCAGGTTTCGTTAAGATATTTTTGAGCAATAAAAACAACCGAATTCCCCACCACTTCAACTTTTACTTGAACCTTAAAGTCCTCTGTTACGCTTACTTTATTCCATAAACTACTAGCCTGATTCATCAGCCGGTTTCACTTTGTAGAAACTGTCTGACCTCGCAGCATTGGAATTTGTTCGCTCGATGGTAGACGGATACTTTTTGTCATTTAACCAATTGCTGCTATTTGGTCATCACATACGTTATTCGCTGCTAACGGGGCTAACTAGTATATTAAGCTTTTCCCAAATCCCATAGGAAGAAGAACAATAACGTCTTTCCCCTTGATAAAATTCACCAAACATTCTCTTTATTCCAGCTTTAAATCCTCGATCTCGGGAATCATTGACAACACTGAATATATGGCTCTTTGCTGATTGGCTGGTGTCCGAACTTGCACTTCCGGGGTTTTTGCGAACCGTCTATTGTATTTTGAGTCCTGACCTAGTCGCTGGAGAGAAATGAAATCGAGTGAAGGCACTACGTGGCGCCAGCCTGGCTATCAGACTGTAGCCCAAGTTATGGTCGTGCGTCAAATCTTCTGCGTCCCTGTGTCTGCGTCTGCCTTGAACCCCCTCCACAGAGCGTCTGCAACGACCGACGTGCACCTCAGAAATTTTGTAACTACACGTCAAAACGATGCAGACAGTAGAGAAAAGCGACGAAAACAATAAAGGCTGTGATTGGTCCTCTCTACCACCACTCTACTGTACATACATTTCCGGTACTCCACTTTCCTGCTTCATTTTATTTACGTGAACGCAATCCTCAGCTCTTAGTGTTGTGGCGGTGAATTACTTCGAGGTGCATAGATCTCGATGAAGATCCATAAATCAAAAACGACGGGAGCAGTGTGCATTGACTCTACACAGAAAGCAGAATTCAGTTTCCTGTTTATAGGCGACATTTTGAGGATATTTTGGACATCGCACCGTTCAGAAGATTTTTTTGTTTTGTTTTGAATTGTTGATTTCATCCCTTTCAAACCCAACGATAGACATTATGGTCAAGCTCCTGCCTAATCATTTTTTTTCAAGCACTTTTTTTGACCCATGCCTCAAAGTGCTCACTGTATTCTCAGCTCCAACTTAAAGGTACATTGTGGAAGTTTTCTGGTACCAGCTTCTGTCCATGGTGATGTTGCCTGGAATGTTCCACACCATGGCATTATACGTATTTATCTCTACGTAGAAAGTAAGTGACACCATAGGACTAAATTAGTTCATCATTGCATTTATATAGCGCCTTTCAAGATACCCAAAGTGCTTTACAGATCATTATTCAAGCACTCCACGCTTGGTTAAAGTTAATTGTCAGATCTGTGGAGAGGCGAGGACACTCACAGTAAGAATGTGCGTTTTTAGGTCAATAAAAACCCATGTTATTGAATAAATGCAAGATGGATACATTTATTTCCATACCGGGACATTCCAGACAAATTAACAGCATTTCCATGGAGACAAGCAGGTTACACAATGCACCTTTAAGTAACATTTGTGTCTAACTTACCCTCCGTTTGCTCTGTTTTCAGGGCATATTAGCGCTGGCAGGTAAAGACCACCAGGTGATGCTCCAGGGGGTCCACGAGCTGTACGAGCTGAATGAAACGCCTCAGATGTGGGAGGGGAACGCCCGGATCAGCAGGCTGGTTTTTATAGGTAAAGCAACACTGCGGCACTTTGCACACTTCACACATGCGTAAAACACCACACCTGCTCAAGGATACCTGCTCTGGTCGTTCACATGGCAACGACTTGTACTTAGGCCTGATGTGCCACTTGTATTGTTCAACGTGTTTTACTTAAATGTATTTACTTATAATGACTTTGTGATTTGGATTTGCATAATTAAAGCTAAACTATGTAACTTTTGTGGAGTTCTGTGGAACATTTTAAGCAACCCAATATCTTGTAAGTTGAAGTTTTTGTCAGCACGTTTTAGTATTTTAATTTATACTGCTTTTGCATTTAGTGACAATATATATACATTAGATTTATTTTAGATTTGCATGTTAAGACACTTGGTATAGTCACTGTGTTCTCTAAAAATGCCTTTTCTTTTTTGTTCCACAGGTAGAAATCTGGAAAAGGACTCTTTACAAGAACAGTTCATGTCAAGAGTTTTACACAAACCTGACCAATAGTTCTGGGAGTCACATTTTTATAAGATGGTTTGAATTTTGTATTTATGTTGGTTGTAAATTGTACTAATTTGCTCCTCAAATTATATTAAAATTAAAATTAACTGCGTGAAGTGTTTTTTTTTTTCTTGGTACTTTATGTTGATTATTTTTGTATAATTCTGTTAGTTTTACTCATTCTTGCTGAATCTTAACTGAAAAAGTAAAATAAAAAAGTTTCATAATGTTTTGTTCGTTGTTATGTGAGGAGCATTACGCACGCCCTCGCGTACACTTTCAAAGCGTTATCAGGTGAGGAAATAGGTGGAGTTTTCTCATCTCTGTCATTTGCAATGGATATGTCAGAGCAGCGTGGTTTTACACGTATCCGCTGTTGGAGCGGTTTGCTTTGAGGTCATAAAGCCGCTTCGTGCAGCTGCGCGTTTCCTACTTGATTCTGATGCTGATGGCCTCGTTAAGGCCTCTATTGCCTCTTTTCACTGCGGCCTGCAGGGTGCCCAACCACGGCCATTTTCATGGTCACATCCCCCGGGGCCATCCAGAGGTGGCAAACTAAACGAAGCCGCGGGGGTCCAAGTGGAAACAGCGCCGTTATAGGCGTGGTGTTAAAGTTTCAAACGTGAAAAGGCTCATTTGTAACTTTATAACTATAGGCCTAACTCTGATACAACCATGATATATGTGCTGATGCTCACAACAAACTCTCACAGTGTAGCATGATAACTTGTAGTTGACAAAACATTGTTGTGGGGGTGATGGCCTAAACGTGGAAATTTTACGCGCAGTGTCCTCACGGGGTAAAAGGAAGAGCTACATAAGGCTGACGCAAGTTCTTGTTTAACTATCAACAATTCCCATGTTGTAACAATCAGAAGCGTCACAGTCTTATTGTTTTTGAGAGGAAATGGGAAAATGTTGTATGTAAATTGAGCTGCTTGCGAAGAGGCCGCGCGCACTGTGAGATCCTCCTCGCGACCCCCTCCCCTCAGCGCGGCACCCCGCGGGGCAGAGTCGCTCTGATAGGCGCAGAGGGTTAATGGGACTGTCCGGAGAGCGCACGGTATAAATGCTCTGCTCCAGAGCAGGACACCAGTGACCAGTAGAACTTAAGGAGAACTATTCTGCACCTGCGCTTTGTTTTTACGCACAGAAGAGAGTTTGCGCCAGAGTGGCACAGTGACCTTTAGCGCGTCTTCAGACAGTCTTCAGCCATGACTCTGTCCAGGACCCTGGAGCTGTCCCACAGACCCGCCGCTCTGGCTCTGGACGAGGATGAGATCGACATAGTGGGCGAGGACGAGCCCAGCACCGGACACTTTTACCCGAGCAGTGACCCGGGCTCCTCCGCCGAGTCCGGGCCTGAGTTTGATTCCTCGGAGCCCGAGTCCTCAGGGGAGAGCGAGGGCAGCTTCTGCGCAGACACGGCCTCGAGTAGGAAGGGTCAAGGCAGCGCGGTGAAGCCGCCGTACTCTTACATCGCGCTCATCACAATGGCCATCCTTCAGAGCCCGCACAAGAAGCTCACCCTGAGCGGCATCTGTGACTTTATCAGCAACAAGTTTCCCTACTATCGCGAGAAGTTCCCAGCCTGGCAGAACTCCATCAGACACAACCTTTCTCTCAACGACTGTTTCATCAAGATCCCACGAGAGCCAGGAAACCCGGGCAAAGGCAATTACTGGTCTTTGGACCCAGCCTCTGAGGACATGTTCGACAACGGCAGTTTCCTCCGCCGCAGGAAGCGCTTCAAGCGACACCAGCCCAAAGACGGATTCATGTACATCCCCGGATACCGGCCCTATCCCCAGTACTGTGTGCAGCGCCAGAGCCCGCCCGCAGTGCCCTTTCCCTACATGGGTGTACCAGAGGGCCCCCTGATGCCCGCATCTTACCCGCTCCTGCCTCAGTCTTTGGGTAAAACCAGCGTCGCTCCCGCAGACTTCAGACCGGACTTTAAAAGTGCTCTTCCACAACCAGTCAAGTCTGCGCCGCGTCCCAAGTGCTCGTTCAGCATCGACAGCATCATGAGCAGACCCGCCTCCAGCAGCAGCCCACCGGACTCCAGCCGGACACTTCCGCAGAGCGCGCACGGTTACGCACAGCTCGTTCCCGGCGCTGCGTCATACATGATGCCCGCGCTCGTGCCCACAACCCAGTTCTGTCCAGCACCGGTTCTGGCGACGACTCCTCTTCTGGCTGACCCGCTCCGAATGGGCTATCCCCGCTGCTAGACACGTGTGCCCCGTGCGTACGTGTGTCTTTATCGTTTCTTAAAGAAATCTCTTGTTACATGATATTTGTGTAAGCTGCATCTGAACTGTGACTTTTAAACGTGTCTGTAAATAAGAGCTGCTATAATATATTAGGCCTATGTATTTGTGTCATTCACGTGACAAACGGAATATTGAATGTTTTTCGTAATAAATAATGTTAACATGAAATCTCACAGTCTTTGTGGTATATTGTTTGGACAAGATGCCAGCTGTAGTCTATACCAACACTATTTTGCGGGTTTTTAGCTAATTTTTCAGAACAGGGATACAACCCTAAGGCTACAAATCGTGCGCTGACTGCTTACTTCAAAACACATGTTTAAAATATCGGCAAGGCCATACTCAGAATTACCACCAGTATTATATGTGAACTTTTTCTTACATCAGGTGGTATATAAATCATTCATGGGCCTAGAACCTGAACTCTTAAATATCCTTATAAAGTTGTAAAGCTCCTCCGCATGACTACACAGGTTGAATCACTATAGGATTGTCCACTGTGCCAAACAGAAGTAAAACACCAAGATCCAATTTAGGTTTTCATCTTGCAGAGCAGGCCACAGTGTAGAATAGGTGTCTCCAGCCTTTTCCCCCTGTGAGCTACTTTTGTAAAACGAAAATACCAGAGAGCTACTAATTTTAGCAGTTGCTAGAAATTGTAGTAAATTCAAGAGCCATGGCAAGCTGTAGATGAGGTACAGTTAGATGCTTATAATACATGATACAGTGATACATCTACAATGGAAACAGGCATTTAATCAATCAAATTTGAGTTTTTCACCGCAATATGTATAATTCAGAAATCCCTTGGTGAGCTACTTGGAAGGGGATGGAGAGCTACCGGTAACTCCCGAGCTACAGGTTGGAGACCCCTGGTGTAGAATAAAGGACTTTGGAATAAAACAACAAGAAAAGCTAAACAGAACACTGCGGTCGCGTAACGGAATATGAATGTTGCTAATCTATTTCTATGGATAATCAGTGAGCAGCTGCATCTCGCTTTTTAATCCAAATACAATTTATTCGCCTGTTTTTAAAATTAAATGTTCTGTTTTAAATGATATATTGTAAGATAACCATTGAATAATATTAAGAACAAATATCAGACATATTAATAAAACTGAAGGAATTAAAATGAGAAATCTGAACAAGTCGAATCAAAATGTCGTGCGTTAATGTGCGTAAAACCTTTGGGAGTAGGGTGACCACCTGCTTCTCTTTGACTGTCCTGTACAGCCTTTTAGGTCTGTTACTCGTCCCACTTATTCAGAGAATGTCACGCTTTTATAATGATGCCACAAAAATTATAAATAGCGAGAGAAATCCATCCCTATAATATGTTTTTTGGTCAAGAAATCAAGACTTTTTTGGGGGTGTGCTGACATTCAGGATTGTAATTTGGCATCTATTCCTATTTCAGTCTCTCTCTGTGATAAAATCAATTTGAGGTGGTCACCTTATAGGGTCAGTCAGTGCCTTCAGATAATCATGATGGTCTATTCTAGTCGTCTCTGCAGTTCACCCTTTTCACCTCCAGATGGCAGCGTTGCATCTGATAACGAATGTGTCCAGTTAAGTTCACGCTAAACTAGAAGGTGAGTGAAGAAATTTTACTTTATAATAGGCTACAAGAAACCATTTCAGATTTACATTCAGGTGTAACTAGACGCAACAATATCCTATTCTTAGCGGTGTTCTTTAGGTGCGCAGTCTCTGGTTGCACAGCACAATCCCCTGCGCAGTCATCCAGCTATTTTTACCCTCTCAGCTGATAGTGGCCCTCCCTGATTTTTTTCTTTTGCTTATAGTCAGTTGTTGGCGCTTTCTACGCAAAAGAGGGAGTTGTCTCTGAGCAGTGGAGGGTACAGAGCAAACGCAATGAGGTCTATTGCTTTGTAGACACACTGACAGTATACTTTTTTTGGAAACTTTTCACCACTTTAATCCACTTTTGAAGACACCAGGAGGAAAGAAGGGAGGATGGAGACGAGTCCCATCCCGGTTGTGACGGTCCAGACCTCGCCATTCGAAGATCAGCGGCCCGGTACGAATGGATTACGCAGGAAAACGGCGGTGTTTGAGGGGAAAAAGAACTACCTGCAGAATTACATCCAGAGCCTGCTGTCTTCCATTGACCTGAGGGACCGCCAGGGCTGCACCATGGTCGTGGGCAGTGACGGGAGGTACTTTAGCCGCGTGGCCACAGAGGTCATAGTGCAGATGGCAGCGGCCAATGGGGTGAGTATGAGAAACTGGTGCGTACTTGTGTGATTAGAGTGCCCAAAACTGTATCTTTGGTCCCATATTACAAAAAAAATTATCTTGTGAGCTTTTAGTCATGTTATAACGTTGTCATCAAAAACATAGCTGGAGTTATTGTATGTTTCATTCACACATGTTTGAGTAAAGCTTTATAAATTACGATTATAAAGTCCACATCTCCAAAGCTCAAAATGCTCTGTCCCACCTTCAAGTTCAACTATATTTTATAGGGATGTAACAATAACCGAAATCTCGTGATATCATATCGTTAAAGTTCTCACAATAATATCGTGGACCATCATAATATATCGAATTACAAGTCTCTTTGCTTAAATGAAGAGTTATGGTGCAGCAATAACTAAACAAAACAGAGGGAACTACATAGACCATGATCCTTTGCTCCATTTCCGTGTAGACTACAAGAAGAAATAACAGTTATAAGCACTTTTAAGTCTTAGTTCTTAAGTGTTGTCAAGGTATTTTAAGAGGAAAAAGTTGCACATTAACAATTTTGTTAGTCTCCAAAAAATATCGCAATAAATATCGTGCCGTGAGATGTATATCATGAAAATATCGTACAGAGAGATTTGGATATTGTTAAATTTCTAATCGTGAGCCTCCCCATCATATCGTGAGCTTTCCCATGATATCACAATAAATATCGTACCGTGAGATTCATACCGTGATGTTATCGTATCGTGAGACTTGGATATTGTTACACTCCTAATATTTGACCTTTTTGCTTAGTAGAGATTGGCAATTCCAAGGCTGAAATGATCAAAAATTATTCTAATGAAGATGTATGGGGTTGAAAACACAGTGGTGCACTTACGGTATTCCCACTTATCATCACAGGTGTTTTCCTGTTCGAGAGAAGAACTTTAAATATCCTAAATATGCAGGGTTTGTGTGTTAAAAGTGTGAATGAAACAAAAAATGAAACAACTCCAGGTATGTCAGACGAAGAAAAGAGGTAGAGCGCTTCACTGGATCATAAAAAAGTCTAAAATAGCAGTACAGATCTACGAGGGTTAAACTTGTAATATTAACAGAAAATTACCCTGACTGAAAAATGTAAAAGTGGGCAAGGTACAAACCCGAGGCACCAGTGTATAATGTTTCCTCATCAAAAACATACCTGGAGTTGTGGATTATGCCCTGACGAAGAGCATCTTGCCTTCATGTAATAAAGGACTTTTAATATATTCAGTCGGAGTGCGTCGGGTTTGTACCTTACCCACTTTTACATTTTCCAGTAAGGGTCACTTTCTGTTTAAAGACAACTCCAGGTATGTCAGATGAAGAAAAGAGGTAGAGCGCTTCAGTGGATCATAAAAAAGTCAAAAATAGCAGTACAGATGCTTTATGAGGGTTAAACTTGTGATCTTAACATAAAATTACCCTTACTGGAAAATGTAAAAGTGGGCAAGGTACAAACCCGACACACTCCCACTGAAAATATTAAAAGTCTTTTATGACATGAAGCGATGCCAGCGTGTTTCGACCAGAAAGATGGTCTTCATCAGGGCATAATCCACAACTCCAGGTAAGTTTTTGATGAGGAAAAAACATTATAACTCAGATCATGCGCAACCCACCCCTGCTGACATCTCTTCTGTGGAATTAAACAGCTTTTGACATAGAGTAATGTTGTGTACAGTTGTCAGATCAACATCCTGAACATCACATCTGACTTGGGGAGAGGCAAAGTGAAATTAGTTTGTTAATTATAATATATTACAGTGATTTTAGATGTTTTATAACCATATCTGGTGTGTCCATATTTGGCAGTCTCCATAAATTATCACCATGACAGTCAGCAATGTATGTTCTTGGCTGAGAATATTCATGTCGACTTTTTGGAAACGCTCTACTTAACAGAACTATTCCAAGCTTCTTCTGGCCAGTGCTGTTTGTGCATCTTTGGGACTTTTATTGGATTAAATTTATAGTTAACTGTTGCTTTTCGGGGGGTTTTCATTGTTAAAAAATTAGAATAATAAAATGAAAAGTGATGAGAGGGATGGGGCAGGATCTTTTTTCCACGAATCTGACTTGTAACTTCTCTCCGTGGAGATGAAGTAAATGGATTTAATGCCGTTCTTTGGACCCTTCCAGGCAAAGCAATAGCATCACCATGGGGAAAAACAGCTAGAATCCACAGCCTTCACTGGTAAAGTTACATAGTGCAGCTTTAACCTTAGCTCTGACAGACAATTTACTGCTCTAAAACAGCCTAAACATACTGTATATGAGTAGAGAAATAAAACCAGTTGTTTCAATTCAGCTTCTATCAAATAACCAGGATGCAGGGTACAAGAAGACAGAGTTGAGAGTTGACTTTGGGCAGGCTCCAGAGGAAAACCTGGAGGCACTGTTCTTGTTTTGGAGCTGTGTTGGTGCGTTGGTTTAGTGCTGGCCCAGCTGACTCTGTGTGTGTGTGTGCATGTGTCCTTATCAGCACTTCCATCCACAGTGCGCTGCTTACGGACATCCTCTCCCCTCTCTGCCCTGTGTCTGGGGTCAGAGCAGGAGCACGGGCTCTTTGGGTCTTTAAAGTAACATAAAATGCCTTTTGGAGGTTTTTAAGTATGTTATAATTTTGTATCGTTGTCAGAAACATATTCATTACTCATTGTATTTGCTAAAACTACCTTAAGCCAATATATCTACAGCCAACATATGTTAGGCTACACTAAACAGCTGTAAAATAAAAAATAAACTAAAATTGCATTAAACCTTTAGTGAATGTAATGCAAAACAAAATACAAAATATGATTACAGATGGAGGGCAGCTAAAACTAATATTGTTAAAATGCAAAATTATGCTGCAATACAGTGCGTTCTTGGGTTTAGTCAGTAATAAAAAATACCAGGTTCAACATTTGTGGGTTTACCTTTTGGATATTTCATGGTAAAGTACGATGTGATCAATAGGGAAATCTGGCCCTTGCCCCCTGTCTGAGAACATATCAATATATCGTATAGTTTAATGTGATGATACAGTATCGATATCGTAGGATGCTGTATCGATATATCAGCAAGAGTATTTTTTTTTTATATTTTACTAAATTATTTTGTTACAGCGCTACAGTTTTATTGCTTGTTTAGTGAAAGGAAACTTGTTTATGCGACATATTTGACATTTTCACTGTTTTGATGATTAAAATGTTTGTGTTTCATATGAACTTTGCACAAGAAGTGGTTTAACAACGAGTCTTGTATCACAGTCATGATTTAGCCATTAACGTTTTTACTGAACCATATTGAATCGATTTGAAATATACTGTATCGTTTTGAAAGCTCATTGTATCGAGGAATGTATCGTTTTGGCAATTTCTTAATGATACCCCAGCCTTAGGGGTGAGCAAAAATATTGAAATATCGATATACGGTATCGTTTAATATCCTGAAACAGTATCGATATTGTGGGCTGCTTTATCGATATATCACCAAGAGTATCTTTTGGTATATTTTACTTAATTATTTTGTTACAGAGCTACAGTTTTGTTTCTTGTTCAGAGGAAAGAAACTCGTTTATGTGACACATTTAACAATTTCACTGTTTTGATGATTAAAATGTTTGTGTTTCATATGAACTTTGCACAAGAAGTGGTTTAACAAACACTTTTAGTATCACAGCCATGATTTAGCCTTTATTTTATATTGAACTATATCGAATAAATTTGAAATATATCGTATCGAATCGTAAGCTCACTGTATCGAGGTATGTATTGTATCGACAACTTCTTAATGATACCCAGCCCTACATTATAGAATCTGAAAACAACCAGTATTATAATATAAAAATGCAATTCATATACAAAGATATGTTTGTTGTTTGAAAATGAAAACATTTTGGTACAATCTGGCTCCACATCAGCTTTTCTAGATGTTAAAACATGACAAAAAAACATCAACCTTATGCGCACCGTGTACAGCTTTTACAGTATTACCTAATAGATTTACCGTATGTGATTAATACTTCGTGGTTGCTGACTAAACGCTCGCTGTGCAGATCGGCCGCCTGGTGATTGGACATAACGGTCTGCTGTCCACTCCCGCCGTGTCCTGCATCATCAGAAAGATCAAGGCCATCGGGGGGATCATCCTCACAGCCAGCCACAACCCTGGAGGTCCGGGAGGAGACTTCGGCATCAAGTTCAACGTGGCCAACGGAGGTGAGGGGTCGAAAAGATGGTTTGACTTTTTAGTGGGGCTTTGAACTTGGAGTATGTCCACCTAAAACTATGTACTAACTAAATATGTATAAATATTTAATTCTGTCAACTGGAGAAATGACACGAGTGAATAGAGTGGAAAACACTGACACAACGACTGAGGGATTAGACTTAAACTTTGACAAACTTCACTGATCCGCAAAGGGAAATCAGGACAAAGTAGCTCACACATTACAATATATTATAAAAACAAAGAGCAAAAATATAGATACAATAAAAAAATAAGTAGCAAAAATAGCAAAAGACTGGATTACACAGATGTTTAAAAATGTATGTAAAATTTCACATCTGTTTCGTGTTAGTAATACACATTAGCATGATTTATCTAATGTCATATTTAATAACATGATGACATTTTTTATTTTATCGACACCTTTATTGTTTCATTCTGCTGTTTATTTGCTGCAGCTCAGGCCTTTTGAATGTCGGTCTATTTAAAAGTGGTTTATTATCTTGCTGTTATTATGTCAGTGGCGTAAAGTAGTTTCACTATTATCGTTTATCGCAGTATATCTCTGTAGCAATGTCGTAACTACGTATACATGTTTAATTTTGTCAGCTGGACAAAAGACAAGAGTGAATAGAGTGATAAAACTGGACAGAATTCAGATTTTGTTTCCTGTGGACCCTACGTGAATGACCGAGGGATTACAAAGACATCTAAAAAATATATATATATATAACATTTTTTCATATTTCTCTAAATCGGCGGGTTTGCACATCTGTTTTGTGTCAGTAATATGCATTTTAACAATTTTTTGACCATTCTAAAAACCTGCAGTGTTTTGCGTCCTAATTTTACATATCTTGAAACCCATAGATCCATACTCATTCACATAATTTAAAAAAAGATCCTTTCATTTATCAGTAAATCATGATTTGTTTTGTCGAGCCATACAACGACACTATGAGATTTTAATTTAGATTAGTCTTTATTTGAAGAGACAATGTACAGACACATAAATCCATTAAAAAACACTTCAGATTCCACATCAGATTAAAGCGAAATAGCAAAAATGTGTCTCAGAAAACATAGGTTGGAATTAAATCTTTCAATACATGAAAGCTAGAACAATATATTTTAGGGCTCAAGATTTATCGTGTGTACATTTTATTCATAAAAGTGGGAGATTTGGGGTATTTCTGTTGTAATACAATAAGATTTGAGCTGTAAAAGATTAAATAAGTGACTTGTGTGGTTAATTACTGGTTCATTCTGTTATTTATCTGTTGAAGCTCAGGCCTTTGTTCACTAGGATTGTCTTGCATTATTGTTTTTGTGTCAGTGGCATAAACTAGTTTCAGTATTATGGTTTATCGCAGTTTGCGTCTGTAGCAATTTCAACCTGGACAGACTCAAAGCGGAAGTATTAGTAGTTTTATTGAGTTATGTTTAGTGCTCAGACCCCACGAGAACATATTGTAATGAAGGACGTGGACGGGACGATGAGAAGATGAAGGGATGAGGAAAAAAACCTGGATGATAAAATGATGAGGAAAGTGGAGGGAATGATGAGAGGATGAGGAGAATGAAGGTGATAATGAGATGATGAGGGGATCAGGAAAGTGAAGGGAACGATGAGATGATGAGAAGAGTGTGAGGACGTTGAGAGGATGAGGAGAGTGAAGGGGACCATGAGAGGATGAACGGATGAGGAGAAAGAAGGGGGCGATGAAATGATGAGGAGAGAGATTAGGAGGATGAGGAGAATGAAGGGGAAGATGAGAGGGTGAGGAGAGAGAACGGGACGATAAAATGATGAAGGGATGAGGAGAGTGAAGGGGACAATGAGAGGATGAGGAGAATGAAGGTGACGATGACAGGATGAGGAGACTGAAGGTGATGATGAGAGGATGAGGAGAAAGAAGGGGATGATGAAATTATTAGGGAATGAGGAGAGTAAATGAGATGATGAAGAGAGTAAAGGGGACCATGAGAGGATGAAGGGATGAGGAGAAAGAAGGGGATGATGAGAGGATGAGGAAAGTGAAGGGGATGATGTGAAGATGAAGAGAATGAAGGTGACGATGAGAGGATGAGGAGAAATAAGGCGACGATGAGAGGATGAGGAGATGAGGAGATGAGAGGATGAGGGATGAAGATGAGGATGAAGAATGAAGAGGATGAGAGGATGAGGAGAATGAAGGCAAAGATGAGAGGATGAGGACAATGAAGGCGATGATGAGAGGATGAGGAGAGTGAAGGGGATGATGAAATTATTAGGGAATGAGGAGAGTAAATGAGATGATGAGGAGAGTAAAGGGGACCATGAGAGGATGAAGGGATGAGGAGAAAGAAGGGGATGATAAAATTATGAGGAGAATGAAGGGGACCATGAGAGGATGAGGAGAGTGAAGGGGACGATGAGAGGATGAGGAGAGAGAACGGGACGATGAAATGATGAGGAGAGTGAAGGAGACGATGAGATGATGAGGAGAGTGAAGGAGGACGATGAGAAAATGAGGAGAGTGAAGGAGACGATGAGGGGATGAGGAGAGAGAACGGGACGATGAAATGATGAGGAGAGTGAAGGGGATGATGAGAGGAGGAGGAGAGTGACGGGGACGATTAGAGGATGAGGAGAGTAAAGGGGACGATGAGAGGATGAGGAGAATGAAGGTGACGATGAGAGGATGAGGAGAATGAAGGTGACGATGAGAGGATGAGGAGAGTGAAGGAGACGATGAGAGGATGAGGAGAGTGAAGGAGACGATGAGAGGATGAGAAGAGTGAAGGGGACGATGAGAGGATGAGAAGAGTGAAGGAGACGATGAAGGATGAGAAGAGTGAGGGGACAATGAGAGGATGAGAAGAGTGAAGGTGACGATGACAGGATGAGGAGAGTGAAGGTGACGATGAGAGGATGAGAAGAGTGAAGGTGATGATTAGAGGAGGAGGAGAGTGAAGAGGATGAGGAGATCAGGAGAGTGAAGGAGTCAATGAGAGGATGAGGAGAGTGACAATGAGATGATGAGGAGAGTGAAGGGGATGATGGGAGGATGAAGGGATGAGGAGAAAAAGGAGACGCGAAGGAGACCATGAGACGATGAGCCCATCCTCTCATGGTCTCCTTCACTCTCTTCATCATTTCATCGTCACCTTCTTTCTCCTCATCCCTTCATCCTCTCATCGTCCAGTTCACTCTCCTCATCTTCTCATCGTCCCCTCCACCGCCTTCATTGCAGTGTGTTCTGGCGGGGTCTGAGCGCCAAAGAGAGGATGAGGAGATTGAAGGGAACGATGAGAGGTTGAGGTGAGTGAAAGGATGAGTGAAGGACGCGATGAGGTCTGATGAGCACGCCAACTCTGGAGAAGCGATGAGCTAAACAGGAGCGAAGTTGTGTCTTTATTTAGACTTAATTTTTCTCGCTCTATACATCGAAATGCATTATCACGATTGACCTAAAAAGGACTATGGTTATTCTTGCGTTTTCTCCTTTTCAGGCCCTTCTCCAGACACAGTGATGGAGAGAATCGCTCAGGTGAGTCGGACCCTGGAGGAGTTTGCCATCTGCCCCGACCTCCGCATCGACCTCTCCAGACTGGGACGCCAAGACTTCGACCTGGAGAACAAATTCAAGCCGTTCAGAGGTAAATTGAACAAGTTACATCCAAATGAAAACCAGTTATAGCCTGATTTCTCGCTCTAGTCCAAGTCTCTATGCTTTAAAAAACTATTACTTGAAACTTTTAGCCCTAATTACTCATAAAAATAATTAACTTGCATATACTTAACATATATATTAATCATTTCTGTCATCTTCATGTCTCTTTTGTTTGTTTTCAGTTGAGATTGTGGATTCGGTTGAGGTCTATCTTCAACTTCTACGAAACATTTTTGACTTTGGAGCAATAAAGAGTCTGCTCACAGGACCAGATCAGCTCAAGATTCACATAGACGCCATGAACGGAGGTACGACTCGAGTTATAATCAAGCTTATACTTTAACTAGAGCTACATCTTAACACTAGGGCTGCTATGCTAAAATTGACTTATGTTGTAATAGATTTTTTCTGTCAAAAATATGTGAATGCAACTAGTTCTTTGCTGCTTTTGCTGAAATAATTGAAAAATAAAACCAGTCAAACAGTGTGAAAATCAGAAATACACAACCAAATCAAGGCAAATTTAACTGAGCAGATTAATCCTTATAAAGAAAGAAATATATTTAGTGTTACCTATAATAATAATTATTATCCTATGATATTGTCCAGCGTTAATACTTTATATTACATTAACAATATTTTCTCTCTCCTTTCTTGCAGTGATGGGCCCGTATGTGCGCAGGATCCTGTGTGATGAGTTGGGGGCCCCGGCGAACTCAGCGGTGAACTGTATCCCTCTGGAGGACTTCGGGGGCCAACCTCCAGAGCCGAACCTGACCTACGCCACAGCGCTGGTGGAGGCCATGAAGGGAGGGGAGTTTGGGTTCGGAGCGGCTTTTGATGCAGATGGGGTAAAGAACAGTTGCCAATATATCGTAAGATCAAATAAAGTTGATCAATATCGCGAATGGAGGAATTCTCTTGTAAAGGCACCTCAAAAATAGCCAGGCTGGTGCCAACTAGTGCCTCCGCTCAATATAATTTATCTCCAGCGACTAGGTCAGGAATCAAAATACACTAGACAGTTTGTAAGAACCCGGAAGTTGTATTGGCCAATCAGCGAAGAGCCAAACATTCTGTGTTGGCAACGATTCCCGAGATCGAGCCTTTAAAGCCGGAACAAAGAGAATGTTTGATGAATTTTATCAAGGGAAAAGACGTTATTGCATTCTTCCTGTGGGACTTGGGAAAAGCTTAATATACCAGTAAGCCCCGTTAGCGATGCATTACATAAGTCACGACCAAATAGCAGCGATTGGTTAAATAAAAAAAGTACCTGTCTACTGTCGAGCAAATGAATCCTAATACTGCGAGGTCAGACGGTTTCCACAGAGTGAAACCGGCTGATGAATCAGGCTACCTCAGAAATATGAAATTAAGAAATTGCTAACTTTTACATATTTAAATGAATAAAAGAGCCCTACATAATCTTACACACATTTGCGTATAGGCATTTTAATAGAGTAATCCATGGAGATAGATTAATTTAATGCCATACTATGGAACATTCCAGGCAAAGCGATCCCATCTTCGTGGAGACTAGCAGAGGGTGAATGTTTCATCTTTTATTGCACTTGGAGAAAAAATATTCTGACAATTCATTATGATTTTACATGTTTTTTTATCAGCTGCAAATCATATTTTTAGGACATACAGTTCCCGGTTTTGTATCAAAGTCCAATGTCTCTGTTATGTCTTCTTCTTCGTATTTTTAGTATGACAAAGTATTATTTTTGATAGTTTTATTGCTACATCTGTTACGTGAAAGCAGTGTTACAGCAAATCTAAAAACATCTTACTGTTATGAATACATTATTTGATTAAAAAGTAAACATTTTTTGTTCTTTTCCACTGTCAGGACCGTTACATGATCCTGGGAGAGAATGGTTTCTTCGTGCACCCCTCTGACTCTCTGGCCGTCATAGCAGCAAACCTGTCCGCCATCCCGTACTTCAAACAGATGGGGGTCCGAGGCTTCGCCAGGAGCATGCCCACCAGCGCCGCAATCGACAGGTATTTACAGTACGATACACTGACACTGTTGATGCGTGTGAGGGTGTTGTACATGTATGCCTGTAGTTTAATGTTGTGACACATGTGAAAACTGAAATCAGATCTGCTATTCTGCTTGTTGTATAGCTCTCAATACATTTATACACAGATTTTTCTGTTTTCCCCTACCGTTTAGAGTTCATAGTCTATAACTAACTCATATACTGCAACCAGAAAAACAGATGTAATGGAAAAATGTGATTGAGACACTGTATTACGTTGGAGTAGCCCATATTATGCTATTTTCTGATCTATTTTATGCTGTTTCTTCATCAAAAACATACCTGAAGTTGTGTTTTGTTTCATTCACACATGATTGACACCTTAACCCTGCCTGCATATTAAGACTGAGTGCTTCTCTCAAAGGGAAAACACTCTGTCCCACCTTGTGATGTCATGCGATAATACAAGAAGTGTTCCACTGTGTTTATAAACTCCACACACCTTCACTACAAGCATTTGGATTATTTCAGACATTGAACTGCTAATCTCTACTGAACAAAAGGTAAAAGGTAGCTGTTGTAAACTGAAAACTACTGCTTCATGACATCACAAGGTGGAACAGGGCATTCTGGGCATTAGAGATGTAGGAGGTGCCCACACGACAGCGTTTTTTGGTCGAAACGGTGAAGCTTTTATTAGTTTTGGCCTTGAAAATGGGTTCTAGTGTGGAGAAATCTGAGAGTGGACAAGCAAACCGCAGCTTTTGGAAAACGATGACGTCGCAACCCCGTCATCGCCACGAGACCAGAAGAGAACCCCACGCAGGAAAGACTTTTACTTTTGTGTCCAGTGTCTTGCTGTAAACTGTTTAAAGCACCACATGTAGGTGTTGCATATGTATTACATCGATTTCACTCAGTGCTTGAATATTTATTGATCCGACACGTGTGTGGATGCGAATTCTTTTCAACCCACAAAAAAAATAATAAAAATCCAGCAGAGTTGTCGTGTGGACGTAGTCGTAGACAGACTAATAATAAAGTGTTACTCAAACATGTGTGAATGAAACAAAACACAACTCCAGGTTTGTTATTGATGAGGTAACAACCTTCTAACATGTCTTAAAGCTCACAAGAGTCAGTTTGACATAATATAGGTCCTTTAAAACATCCCCTTTCAAACACAGTTACACAGAAAAACCATATATGAACATACATAATCTTCATGGCGCCGTTTAGAGCCGTCTTTAAGATTTCCCAGCACGGCCCTGTTTGCTCTATGGACAGTCTCCAATGAAGAGTCACTCACTATGAATACGACTTGACATCAGGCGCCCTCCCACTCCCTTCTACTCACAACCTAAAAATACTGCGTTATATAAGACCAATGCGGACCATGGGATTAAAGCTATTAGCATTGTTAAGGGACACCCAAACCAGAATTAGTCATTAAAAATCCAAAAGACAAACAGGAATAGTGGGAATAATCGGGGATAAAACCATAAAAGAGGAGGGAACGCATGTCAAAGCTACAGGAAACAATGGGGCCCTAAGCTGCTTTCTTCAGGATCATCATACATACAGGACAATAGAGAGTGTGAAAGAGCAGGCAACCAGACAGGAATGTGTATTAGGCCAATCTCCAATTTAAAGAGGGAAAAGCACATTGGAACTACTACTACTACTAATAGTACTATTGTCTCTACTATAATTTCTACTACTGCACCTACAGCTATTACTGCTACAGCTAACTATTAGTGTTTTAGTTCTGCTTCTACTGTTGCTACTACAACTGTGCCTAGTTTTACTACAACTACCACAACTACTACAGCTACAGCTACTTTAATTACAGCTATACTACTACTACTGCTACAGCTTGTACTACTACTATGTCTACTGCTGCCGCCACCACCTGTACTACTACTACTACTACTACTGTTAGTACTACATCTACTGTTGTTATTGCTATTTAGTTACTACTGCAACTACTACTACTACTTATACTACAACTCCTACTCTTACTACTACTCCTACTACTCCTACTACTACTACTCCTACTACTCCTACTCCTACTACTCCTACTACTACTACTTTCCTCCTCCTCCTCCTACTACTACTACTACTCCTACTACTCCTGCTACTCCTACTACTACTACTCCTACTACTCATACTACTATTCCTACTACTCCTACTACTACTACTACTACTTTTACTACTACTACTACTACTTCTACTTCTCCTCCTCCTCCTCCTCCTACTACTACTGGTTAAACGTAACCTTAGTCTCTTATTTAGTTACTACTGCAACTACTACTCCTACTCTTACTACTACTCCTACTACTCCTCCTCCTCCTCCTCCTACTACTACTACTACTACTACTACTACTACTCCTACTACTACTCCTACTACTCCTACTACTCCTACTACTCCTACTACTACTGGTTAAATGTAACCTTAGACCAAGAGGGTGTTAGTTTTTTTTTTTTTTTTTTTTTTAAACTACTGCTAATATTACATCTTCTGCTGCAATTGCTATTTTTACTACTGCTACTACTACTATTAATACTACAACTACTAACTGCATACGTACATATTATTATATGCATAACATATATATTTAACATCTTGACAGGATAAACAGGGACCACAATTGGGGTGATATTTTCAAAACATTTGGTGTAAATTTTGAGCTTTATTAAGAAAATTATGTGTAAATATTTGCATTTCATAGTAAAAATAGAGACTTAAAGATGAAATACACAACCTTTTCTTATAAATGAGTGGAAACTATTTTGTAAAAGCAGAAGTTTGTGACAAAAATCTAATTGTAATATGTCATATTGCATATTTATTCCAAACTTGAGCCATGTGAGTCACTATATGACACTTTGGGGTGAGAGATGATTGACTGTTCAAGGGTGGTCCACCCTGTTTCACTTGTCTGAAAAAAAGCTGTTCTGAAGCTGTGCTAGTGACCAAATACCAGTGATGTGCCAAGAGGTTTGTTAGAGCTAAGGACTAGTTACCTAGATTTAAAAACATAGTTAATTCTTTGCGGTTTGAAAATGAGGTTCCCCAGCTTTAACTAGGATGGACTAAATGATTCTGTGAAGAAAATTGAAAACATGTCCTTATAAAGTTGTCTTAAATAACTGATTTTAAAATATCAAATTCCATTGTAGTTAGAAATAAACCTAAATATGTAATTGTACTATTTAACTAAACTATTTCAAGAAGTATTTTTACTTTTAGAGGCGGACTATGTAACTTTTTGGTTTTTGGTCTGTCACCTGGTTGTTTGGATATGCCATTGCTCTGCCTGGAATGTTCCACAGTATGACATTAAACAGCTCTACCTTACATTTATTCAATTACAGGTGGTTTAAGTCAAACAACTCAAAAATACCTAAAAAAAAAAACAGGCATTCAGACTGTGAACGAGGTTGTCTCTCCACAGATTTGACCTTTAACTTGGTCAGATCTCCATGAAAATAGAAACGTTTAATACCACACTGTGAAACATTCCAGACAAATGAATAACATCAAGGTTTTTGACGGACCCTTCACCACAAAAGTTACGCAATCCACCTTTAAGTCAAGTCAGGCCACGGCGTTTTCAGACATGTGAGTTGCTTCTCTATGGACGTCTTGAACAACTTTAACATTGTAAAACCACATTCATGTTTCCTGGTGCATTCCCGCTGGTTTTGTTCTTGGCTCGGCTTTTGTCGGTGACCTCATGCCAGTTGGGTGTTGTGCTTTCAGGGGAATGGCGACAATGAGATATGTGGGATAAGAGTTACATCACCAGAGATTCAATTTCCCGTCCAAACATTAAATCAGAGTCCAACATCAACTGGAAATCTGTAATGTTTAAGGACACTGCACAGCCAACAGCGCAGTGAAACATATACTCGCAAATTAGTTTCTTGACCTAGTTATGTTCATGCTTTCATCTTTAGAAAGTCACGGAAAGGGATTCATTTATTGCAGTGAAATCACACTGGGGGTGTTCTACAGACATCTCTATTGGAGGACTGTTCAGCTGTTACCATGGTGACATAATGCACACATTATACAAACACAGACAAAACACTTTTAACTAGAAAACATAAAAAATGGCAAAGCATATTTTCAGGAACCTGTGATCAATACGAGCGCTCATGGTCCTGTTTAGGTTTAGATTTTCAACGAATTTATGTGTAAGAGACTTTTTTATGCTCAAATATTTGTGAATATTTAGAAATATTTTTATAATTTACGTACGGCCAGATTACAATTTTGATTTGATCAGTATTTGTGTAAATTTACTATTTCTATTTTGCCCTGAAGAGTGAAGTAAAGTCATCTGCTTCACTCTTCACCACGGTTGGATAATTCACCTGTCACTCACACAGAGTTTTGCTGAGACTGACCAATAGGAGGCGTGGGCGGGGAATAAGAGTCTTCGAGCACAGAGCTGCATTCAAAACAAGATTAGTAGATCATTTATTTTTATTTATTTAATTTATTTGATGAGACAAAAAAATTAATACAAATAAACTAAATAAATAATAAAAATGAAAAATTTAAATAATAAATAAATAATAAAATAAATAAAAAAATAAACAAAATAGAGCTGCATTCAAGACAAGATTAGTAGATCATGATATGACGATTTGACCTAAATAGTTTATCGTTAATGGAATAGGATTACAAGTATATTTTTATTATCATATTACCAAGTCCTACAACATAAACCATTTCGTCACCAACTAAAAGCACCAGAGCAGAGTAAGAGCGAGGCCTTTCCTGTTGTGTTCACCTGGACTCTGCTGTGATGCTTCAGGACACAGAAGAGAGACACTTTTGGCTCATCCACAGGATCTGCTGACCCTCCCTAATCCGTGTATCATTCGTTCATTTGTTTTTCAATATAAAACCAAAAATAAGACAATGAAAAAGCAACAGTTTTCTTCATTATTTGTCTCCAAAACCAAAATGAAAAAACAAAAAAACAAAAAAAACAATAACAATTC